GATGGATGGACACACAGCAGGTGCAGACAACAACTGTTCCGCATTGGAGCAAGAGGGTGAAGGTATCCAGGGACAACAGAATCCCAAAGATGCAAACTAGCATTGAGATAATGTAGGGAAGGCAAGAAGACAAAGAAAGAAAGGCCTGACCTCAGCAGTTAGCTTTGCCATTATTTATCACCAACTCTATTTTATGAGTAATCACACAGCTTGCCCAAGGTTGCTGAACAACCCATAATAACAACCCCTATTTCCTTGTAGGGCTGCTATTGGGATGCAGTCAGTTAATGATTGCAGAGTGATTTGAAAAGTAGCCAGCGATTAGTAAAGGCTACATCAGTTTTACACAGGGATAAAAGAAAGTGAGCTTGGCTATGCCCTTAACAATTGTTGCGTAGTCACAGTAATGTTAATATTGCTTTTTTAATTACTTAGATTCAATCCCTAGGCAAAGTACAACTTACTTAATTGTGGCTATAGACTCAAATATTAGGCATGTAATTATTTTTTTAAAGACTTTTTATTTATTTGAGAGGTAGAGTTACAGACAGTGAGAGGGAGAGACAGAGAGAAAGGGCTTCCATCCACTGGTTCACTCCCCGAATGACTGCAATGGCCAGAGCTGGGCTGATCCAAAGCCAGGAGCCAGGAGTTCTTATGGGTCTCTTATACAAGTGCAGGGGCCCAAGGACTTGGGCCATCTTCTAGTGCTTTCCCAGGCCACAGCAGAGAGCTTGATTTAAAGAGGAGCTGCTGGGACTAGAACCAGCGCCCATATGGGATGCCGGTGCTGCAGACCAGGGCTTTAACCTGCTGCACTACAGCACCGGCCCCACAGTTGTTAAATTCTTTTTTTAAAAAGATTTATTTATTTATTTGAAAGTCAGAGTTACACAGAGAGAGGAGAGGCAGAGATAGAGGTCTCCCATCCGAAGGTTCACTCCCCAGTTGGCTGCAACGGTCAGAGCTGCGCCGATCTGAAGCCAGGAGCCAGGAGCCTCCTCTGGGTCTCCCATGTGGGTGCAGCTGCACCACAGCACCGGCCCCTGTCAAATTCTTAAGTAGCTCATTAGCAGGTTCAGTTGTTCTCACCTTAAAGAAAGATTACATTTCTCCTTGATGTGACCAACAGGTCAGAATGTTGGAACAAATGGTTTCAGTTTTAAGGAGTAGTAGGTTACTAGCTGCCTCAAGGAGCCCCAGACCTAGTTATTTCTCTGCCTTACTATTTTCTTTCTTTATTGGCCAAGAATTGCCAGATTTGTATAGTATTTAAAGCTTTCTGAAACCTCAGGAAGCTTCCACCATAACCATGGTTTCTCATACACCGTGGGTGTCCTTCCCTGGTTGGAACGGGGAAGAAACTAACAATCAGTAAGTTCCTGAGATATTGGAGAGGAGGTCTAGGATCTCCTGGGATACAAGGAACCAATGGCAGAGCTGAGTCAGGGCCCAGCGCTGGGACACAGCAGGTAAAGCCAACACCTGCAGTTCAGTAAGGGCGCAGGCTTGAGTCCCAGCTGCTCCACTTCCGATCCTGCTCCCTGCTAATGCGCCTGGGAAAGCCGTGGATTATGGCCAGGTCCTTGAGCCCCGGCACCCATGTGGGAGACCCAGAAGAAGCTCCTGGCTCCTGGCTTCAGCCTGGCCCAGCCCATCCATCTGGGGATGGAGCCAGAGGATGTAAGGTCTCTCTCTGCTTTTCAAATAAAATGAATCTTTAAAAACAAAACAAAAAAAAAAAAAAAAAAAAAAAAAAAAAAAAAACAGAGCTGAGTCCAACAGTCCTGGTGGTATTGTTAGGTAGGAAGTCAGATATGAGCTTATGTGTGCGTGTGACATAAAGGCCTAAAGAGTTGACATCTAGGTCCAGCATATGCATCTCAAAGTCATCCCGATAACGCTTCAGGGGCAGCCCAGTGTTTGCATCCTGCCCTGCCCCCTTCTACCCGATAACCTGCCAGGTGGGGTTCCCCGCCCCTTCTGCCTGATAACCTTCCAGATGCAGCCCAGTATCTGCATTTCAAATACCCTGCTCAGATCCCAATCCTCCAGGGGGTCCTGCTCACCCTTCCTCTAAACTCAGGGCGGTGCCAGCTAGGCTTCGTCCTGTCTGTTACCTTCAGGGGGAAAACTCAGATAGGAGTTTCTAGTATTTACACCCATAAAGTCTTTTGTTTCAGGAGATGTGAGAAGACAAAGACCCATCTCCTTAAAAACCCTGGCCTCAACTGAACTGCGCGTTCAGCCCTCTGCCTCTCTCTCCACGCTCTTCCCCCAGTCTGAGCGACTGGGCACTCTCTCTCAGGTCCTGTCTGGAGAGGTGCCCATCCGTTCCTACAGATGTCCCTTCCCTAATAAACCTTGCTATTCTGCTTTCCACTGCTCTCTGTCTCACGCCTGAATTCTTTCTTGCGCGAAGACAAGGACCCTTTGCTTCTCCGGTAACAATACCTTAGCTGTTACAGCATTGGCGGGTTTAAATTGCAGCCTACGTGACTTAGGACCACACTTCCAATGGTCAGTAGGCCCGGTGTGTTTGTAAAGAGATACCAGGGGCAGATTTACTAGAACAGATTTATGACCGGAGTTACAGAAGCAGAACTTAGGACCTCTTCCCTCCCTAGACAAGATGACAGGGGGCAGCTGCTTCACTTCACATTTCAATGTTTGTGTTGGGAGGAGGGGTCTGCTTTTCTTTCTTTGTAGGCCAACGCACGCGCCGAATGTCCACGATGGACTTCGGATTTTATTCCAAATGCAGTGGGAAGCACCCGGAGAGGTTGTGTTGGGGAGCGACGTTCTTCCAGTTACATCCTTTTTTTTTTTTTTTTTTTTTTTTTTTTTTTTTGACAGGCAGAGTGGACAGTGAGAGAGAGAGACAGAGAGAAAGGTTCTGCCGTTGGTTCACCCTCCAATGGCTGCTGCGGCCGGCGCACTGCAGTTGGCGCACCGCGCTGATCCGATGGCAGGAGCCAGGTACTTATCCTGGTCTCCCATGGGGTGCAGGGCCCAAGCACCTGGGCCATCCTCCACTGCACTCCCTGGCCACAGCAGAGAGCTGGCCTGGAAGAGGGGCAACCGGGACAGAATCCGGCGCCCCGACCGGGACTAGAACCAGGTGTGCCGGGAGTGTCCTGGCTGTCCTGCAGGAAGCAGGCGTGAAAGCAGGCAGCTGGCTGGGAGGCAGGCTTGTGCAATAGTCCTGATGTGAGGCATGCAGTGGAGGCAGAGGCACAGATGGGCTAGGCGTGCACCTTAGAGGCTAACCTCGTAGCTCCTGCGATGGAGTGCACAGGAGAAGAGGGATGGCTTCAGGCTGCAGCTCAAACAAGCGGATCGTGGTGCCAGTTACTGAGATGGACAAGGTCAGAAGTATGTGTGACCAAGCATGGGTGCAAGGTGTCCGGCCCATAACAAATCTTCCCAGGCAGACGAATCGATTAATTCACAGGCTTTTATTGGGGTTCCGCTCCTGGGCGAGGTTCCCCGGTCCCAACGGAGCAACAGAGTGGGGGCCGGGAAGTTGCGCGTCAGAGATTGGGAGAGCTCCTTTTATAGATTCAGGGCATGGGGGTTAAAGGTGGAGGCGGGTCTGATCCTCATTGGTTGACCTTTAGGCACCTGCGGGAACCTTGACAAGGACTTTCTTCCCCGGAAGTAGGCCTCTCCATTCCCGGAAGTGTAGGCCTTCCCTCCTTGTGGGTCCCAAAGCTACCAATGGGAATCGAAGTTTTCAGTGGGACACGCTAACCTTAATTCTTTTGTTTGTTTGTTTAAATATTTATTTATTTATTTGAAAGACAGAGAAGCACAGAGGGAAAGGTCTTCCACCCATTGGTTCACTCCCCAGATGCCCCAACGGCAGGAGCTGGTCTGCTCCGAAGCCAGGAGCCAGGAGCTTCTTCAGGGTCTTCTACGTGGGTGCAGGGGCTCAAGGACTTGGGCCATCTTCTACTGCTTTCCCAGGCCATAGCAGAGGTGGATTGGAAGTGAGGCGGCCGGGACTAGAACTGGTGGCCATATGGGATGCCAGCACTGCAGATGGGAGCTTTTTTTTTACCTGCTGCACCACAGTGCCAGCCCCAATTATCCTCAACTCTAATTTGAGTGTTTCATATTCAGAGATATGTAGAGCTGCGGGCATTGTGGTGCAGTGGTGTGTAACAGTTCTGTATGTGCCTGGGATGACTGCATTCATATGGGAGTGCCTGACTCAAGTCCTGGCTACTCTGCTTCCAAACCTGCTTCCTGCTAACGTGTATCCTGGGAGGAAGCAGACAGGGGACAGAGAAAGAGAGAGAGAGAGAGAAAGAGATCTATTCTCTGGTTCACTCCCCCAATGCTCAAAACTGTCAGGGCTGGGCCAGGCCAAAACGAGGAGCCAGGAACTTCATCCAGGTCTACGCTGCCTTCTCAGGCCATTAGCAGGGAGCTGGATCAGAAGCAGAGCAGCCAGGAACCAAACCAGTGCTCAAGTGGGATGCCAGTGTCACAGGTGGCAGCCTAACCTGCTGCGCTACAGTACTGGCCCCAGCTAGACCTTATTTTTCCAGTTTTAGAAGTAAAGAAAGCACCTCACTGTATCACAAGTGTTTCCAGGACTGCGCAGTGGAGAGTGGCTTCATAGACAGAAAGGAGGGGAAGAAACAAGAACAGGAAACAAGAATCAGAGAGGTCATTTCAAAATTGCTTTCTTACTAGGGTTGAAACAGAGAGAGGACTTCCTTATGGCATTGATTCAAACCTAGCAGAGTCTCCTGTTTTGGGGAAACTGGCCCGTCTGTGATATCAGACATGATCCCCTAAAAATCTATACAAAAACGTGGCCCCTTAAAGTTCCCCAGAAGCACCATCTGAATGCCGGAATTTGGGGAGCCATACGATATCACCATATGCTTATTAATAAATCCCCAATATTAATAAGCCTGAGAAGAATCCTAAATATCAGCATCAATAAACGAGGCAGAATGGTACATCTTGGGCTTTTATTTAGGTGCGTAGGAAAGTGAGGGCTTTAGTTCAGTTTAGAGAGGGGAAATCTGGAAACTAAGATTGCGTCCATACCAAGCAGAGAGCAGGCCAGAAGCCACGTGCAGCAAGTGCCTTGAGCTGCTATCCACCGCTTATCACCGGCAGCAAAGCAGAGGCAGAGAGCCTTTTGGGACGCTCCTTGCCTTTTATATATTTCTCACAGGGGCGTGGCTTGTGGGCAGGTGGGTGCTCAGGTATGGCCAGGGGGAGCATGATGTCACACGGGGACATGGTGAGGGTATCAGGTAGGGTGTGAGGTCACACAGGGGCATGGCAAAGGCGTGGTCTTCCAGCTCACAAACCTAATCGGTTTTAGCCTGTCTACTTCATTCCCCCCTCAGAGACTCCAGACCTTAATCTTAAGGGGATGTTGATGGGCGTCGAGTCACCATCTTCTGTAGCTGCTTCCTGCTTATTAGAGGCACAGACCCCGCCTGTTCTCGGTCTGGAAGTCTCTGCCTATCTCGTCTAATGAGTTTGTTTCATGAGCTGGAGCTCTTTCAGTCACCACCATCGTCTGTGTCCCCTGCATGGTCATCAGTATTCTCAGAAGTTGCTGGGTTCTGAAACATAGAAGTGTCAATCACCATGAGCAAGATTGGAATAACCCCAAGTGCAACTGGTGTGTCCCTTAAAATGGAAAAAACAAGTCTAGCCATCTGCCAGACAGTAGGTGGTGAGAGATTACCCCTATGCAAACTAGAAAACCATTTAGCTTGAGCATACAGGGCTTTGATGTCCTTTTCTGGGAACATACTATTATTTGAGTGAAGGTGGCAGATCCCGTTGAGCACTGCACATGCCCCCTTGTTCTATTAACATGAACTCTAGGGCCTGTCTATTGTCCATAACTACCCTGTTCAGGGAGTCTACTGAAACCAGAGCTTGCTGTAGAAGCCATCCTGAAGGGTAGGCCAGATTACCCAGAGCTAAAGTCAGGTTCTTAAAGTCAGTTTCATAAAACTCTTCTGGCTGTCCCTCTTTACCCCTGAGGAACCCACCAAGGGTCCTTCTGCCAATAATAGCTCCCAGAAAGAATCAAAAGAGGTATGTATACCAGGTGGGCACTGAATTGCAGAATTTCGACATGGCGAGGACAAGAGTTCTACTTATCCTTCTGCCTTTTGAAGAGGTATTTTAGATCTTCAGTTGGCTCACAGGAATAAGCAGACGTATCTGTTGGATCCACCTGTGGAGACTCAAGAGGTAGAGGTTTAATCCTTGACAAATGTACCCAGCTTGGAATGCCCTGTAATTTTACTGACGTAGGCGTGCTCAGCAGGACTCGATGGGGCCCCTTCTACTGGGGCTGTAACTGGTCTGAGGGAGACCCTTCCTTCCAGGTCTTTAATAAGACCGAGTCCCCTGGGGAGATAGGTTGCTCGTGAGCCTCAGGATCTGGTGCCAGAAGGACCTTGTTGCCATACTGTACCAGAGCCTTTTGTATCTGGCCTAAGTTGATAATGTACATTAGCAGGGAGCTGGATCAGAAGCAGAGCAGCCAGGAACCAAACCAGTGCTCAAGTGGGATGCCAGTGTCACAGGTGGCAGCCTAACCTGCTGCGCCACAATACTGGCCCCAGCTAGGCCTTATTTTTCTAATTTTAGAAGTAAAGAAAAGCCGGTGCCACGGCTCACTAGGCTAATCCTCCGCCTTGCGGCGCCGGCACACCGGGTTCTAGTCCCGGTCAGGGCACCAGATTCTGTCCCGGTTGCCCCTCTTCCAGGCCAGCTCTCTGCTGTGGCCAGGGAGTGCAGTGGAGGATGGCCCAAGTGCTTGGGCCCTGCACCCCATGGGAGACCAGGAGAAGCACCTGGCTCCTGCCATCGGATCAGCACGGTGCGCCGGCCGCAGTGCACTGGCCACGGTGGCCATTGGAGGGTGAACCAACGGCAAAGGAAGACCTTCCTCTCTGTCTCTCTCTCACTGTCCACTCTGCCTGTCAAAAAAAAAAAAAAAAAAAAAAAAAAAAAAGTAAAGAAAGCACCTCACTGTATCACAAGTGTTTCCAGGACTGCGCAGTGGAGAGTGGCTTCATAGACAGAAAGGAGGGGAAGAAACAGGAACAGGAAACAAGAATCAGAGAGGTCATTTCAAAATTGCTTTCTTACTAGGGTTGAAACAGAGAGAGGACTTCCTTATGGCATTGATTCAAACCTAGCAGAGTCTCCTGTTTTGGGGAAACTGGCCCGTTTGGACCTGCAGTTGTATTACCTGGTACTCAGTGTCTGTTCTGCTGGGGCCCAGTGCAGGAGGTTAGTCCAAAACAGTGGCCCCCGGAAATTTTATTTAACAAAACCTTTCTGAAAAGAGAGTACCCAGCCTTCCTGTCACTCACTCTGAGGTGGTTTGAAATGGGCGATCTTTCCCACTGGGACAAGGCTAGTGAGTTACATTACCCAGGAAGACTGTGTGGCTGAACGTGACACAGATAAGTGACGTGCACAGGTGAGAGTCCTGGCTCAGATAATTCCCAGCTGCCACCTACTTGCCACTTAGCATTTCTCTGCCTCAATCTCCTTGTCAGTCGAATAGAAAGCAATGATTGTACCACCCAGGGAGTGGCTGTGTGGCCTAGCAATTAAGCAATTTAGCCTGTGTCCTGTATTGGAATATCGGTTCAATTCCTGGCTGTAGCTCTTGACTTCAGCTTCCTTCCAATGCAGACACTGGAAGGCAGCAGTCATGGCCAAGTGAGCGGGTTCCTTCCACCCACGTGGGGAACCTGGATTCAGTTCCTGGCTTTGGGCTTCAACCCCGGCCCAGCCCTGACCACTTGGGTGTTTGGAGAGTGAACCAATGGATGGGAGTGCTCTCTTGCTCGCTCGCTCTGTCTCTCTCTCTCTTAAAAAAAATTTTTTTTAAAGTACCACTATACAGAATGGTAGAAATAATCCAAAAAGCTAACACACACAAAAGCATTTAGAACTGTGCCCATCACATAGTAAGCATTCAACCAATGTTAGGGAAGACATACAGCAGTTCAATTCACAATTGCTACAATGTGGAATCAACCTAAAAGTCCCATCAACTGATGACTGGATAAAGAAATGTTTTCTTTAACCCGGAAATTATTATGAGGGACTATTACCCAGCTATAAAAAAGAATGAAGTCCTGGCACTTGCAACCAAATGGATAGAGCTGGGAGGTCATCATGCTAAGTGAGAGAAGCCAGACCCAGAAAGACAAATATCCCATGCTTTCTGTTCTCTGCGGAACAGGCAATGCCTAATTGCCATGGCAGTTGGTATATAGTTATAAATGTCACTTCGCTGAGTCATACCATGGTCAAGACAATAAACCCTTCTTTCCCCACATTGTGATCACCGTCACAAATCCCTCGCTTGGTGATATTAATATCTATTTTCAAGAAAAATATTATATACATACATATATACAATCTCTACATTTGAAGTGAATGTGGCAAAATGTTTTTAAAAATTGCTGAACTTGGGGCTGGCCTTGTGGCATAGCAGGTAAAGTCATCCCCTGTGATGTAGGCATCCCATATGGGTGCCAGTTCAAGCCCCAGCTGCTCCACTTCTGATCCAGATTCTTGCTAACATTCCTGGGAAAGCAGAAGACAATGACCCAAGTGCTTGGGCCCCTGCACCACGTTGGGGATCCAGAAGAGGCTCCTGGCTCCTGGCTTTGGACCAGCCCAGCTCCAGCTGCTGTAGCCATTTGGGGAGTGAACCAGTGAATGAAAGACCTCTCTCCCTCTCTCTCTTTTAACTCTGTCTTTCAAATAAGATAAATCTTATTTTAAAAAGTTAAATTTTAAAAATAAAAAAAAAACAGAATTAAAAAAAAACTTAGGGAAAACGAATTAAAAAGTCCAAAGAAGAAGAAAGAAAAAGAGAAATTTATGGATCAGTTATGGAATTCCTGGTAGTCTGTTTCTCCCAAATTCTACCTATAGTCTGCAATAAAAACATGGCAATGGGGAGCCAGCATTGTGGCACAACGGGTTAAGTGCTGCCTGCATCCCATATGGGAGCCAGCGTGCGTCCCGAGTCCTGGCTGCTCTATTTCCAATCCAGCTTCCTGCAAATTCGATGGGCAAAACAGCAGAAGATGGCCTGAGGGCTTGGGCCTCTGCCACTCATGAAAGAGATCTAGAATGAGTTCTAGGCTCTTGGGTTCAGCGTAGCCCAGTCCCGTTCATTGTGGCCAATTTGGGAATGAACCAGAAGATAGAAGAACTTTTATCTCTGTCTTTCCCTGTCCTCTCTCTCCCTGTCTCTCTCTCTGTCACTCTACCTTTGAAATAAATTAAGTAAAAAAAAAAAAAAAAAAAAAGTAGCTATTTATTACAGTAAAGGAAAACTATTTAAAAATCAGTAAACTTTGCCAGGCAAGTAAAACCAGACTTTGTAATGACTCAGCTCTTTTCCTTCCTAAAAACATCTGTTAGTGTACTTAGTGCTATGTTAGAAAAGTAGCATACTTTATTAGTCAAGAGATATTGCCATTCGCAAGATAAGAGGAACACCTTGAAAACTACTTATGCCTGGATTGCATTGGCCACTGAGAGGCTCTGAACCTTCTTTGTACTACACAGGGCGACAGAGGAGGGTTGGCCCTCTCCCTTTACATGTGAGTGAGTAGCTTTCATTTCTAGTACAATTCTCTCCCAGGCCACAAGGCGCTTCCTACACAGAAACTCTTTCTTAACTGTAAGTACTTCGAAATTAAGAACTTCAGGGACATATCATAGTGGTGGGGGAAGAAATGTTTTCTTTAAAAGTTATCTGATTTTCTTTTTTCTTTCTTAATGTGCCATATTTTCAGGTTCAGCAGAAAGTCTGTTTTCTTATTTAATTGTTTTCAATCTAGTGAAGTTCAATAGTATGTGCTAAGCATTTTGTTAGATGCCATGGTTTTTAAAGATCTCAGCCTTAATCTTCAATATTTCAATATTTAAAGCAAACACTGCTTTTGGCAGGAAATACATATCATGCATTGCATTTATGAACCCGATATTTCATTTTACTCCTTATTTCAGTAGATATGTCTGTCAAGTTGTATTGGCTAATTTCTGTGTGCTTTGAAAATATTTTATTACATCCATTAATTAATAAATATTAAGAAACAACCAGATGGAATTTTGTAGACTTAGCTAATAAATTATGAGTCCTTGAATTCTCATTACAAAAGTAAGAAAAAGGAACTAGCATTAAGTTATTATTCTTTGTTATGCGTATAGAGAGATGTCATCTCTCACATCTCATGTTTGATAATTTATAAGGTGAGAGATTATGAAGTGGAAATATGTCGGTCAAAGCAAAAAGAAATTTAACATCCATAAACAGTAGAAGGAAAAAGTATAAGGACTATATCTCAATCAACAGTAATAATGTTTATTGTTATTAATGTAGTTACTGTAATACAATAGACTGATACATTAATTTTAATTATATAGTAGGCTGTCCTCAAGAGTGAGGTCCTCATGGACAGGGAAAACAGGTACAAGATCGATTGTGAGACTGATGGATAAAATTAAAATGCGAGCTAAATCTTGCAAGATTTCCTGGCACTGAAACTATTCCATGGAGAAAATTGTAAAAAAAAAAAAAGGTATTGGCGTGTTTTTCTTCAAATCTTGCTCAACATGACCTGTACTTCAGTTCCCACTTGCATCTTATCTCCAGTGGCCTCTGTGTGGTCACACCGTGATGGGCAGGGTCCCACTCCTTAGCACTTACCAAAGCTGGCACAAGTCTTTTACACTTGTCGGTGCTCTGTGAATCTTGGCTGAATTGAGTTGGCTCTGCCTTTATTGGTAGCAGCAGAGAAATGAAAGAGGCAGTAGCTCTGGATTACCAAAGGGGCTTTGCGTGGATCAGTGGCTGGAATCCTTCAGGATGGCAGGCGACAGCCGGTGGGCAGCTAAGGGAGAATCAGATGGTCCAGTGTGCACTCCTCGGGGCTGTGGGAGGCCCCGGCCAGGGCTGCGTCTGCCGGGAGAAAGGGATGGTATTGATCTAATTATTTTATAGAATTGGTTTTTTTAAAATATTTATTTATTTGAAAGTCAGAGTTGTACAGAAAGAGGAGAGGCAGAGAGAGAGAATCTTTTTTTAAAAGATTTATTTATTTATTGGAAAGTCAGAGTTACACAGAGAGAAGGAGAGGCAGAGAAAGAGAGGTCTTCCATCCATTGGTTCACTCCCCAAATGGCCACAACGGCCAGAGCTGTGCTGATCCAAAGCCAGGAGCTTCTTCTGGGTCTCCCACACAGGTGCAGCAGCCCAAGGACTTGGGCCATCTTCTACAGCTTTCCTAGGCCATAGCAGAGAGCTGGATCAGAAGTGGAGCAGCCAGGACTCGAACTGGTGCCCACATGGGATGCCGGCACCACGGGTGGCAGCTTTACCCACTACGCCGCAGTGCTAGCCCCAATCTAACTCTTACTACAGCGGCAACGGGCTCACCCAGCTGCGTCTACACAGATGGGCCACTTTTTTCTACCTAATAGCACCCTAAGGCATAGGAGCAGCAGAGCTGCAGATGTTCATTACTGACTCTAAACCAGCTCTCTGGGTAGATTTCACACATAGGAAACTTTGAGAACCACTGGACTCGGGAAACAGGCTTGCCCACGAGGTCCTGGGGAACTGTAGCAGCATCACCCAGCACTGGATCTCCTCCAAGGTTTTCCCTTCCACTTGCCACTGACCTTTTACCTTGAATGGCCAGGGTGAAAGGTTATTGGATACCTAATGGCTGAAGCAAACAGCAGTGGCTGGGGCCACTTTGCGTTCATTTCTGTTTTCTACTTGAGATGTCCATGAAGCTGTATGAGAGTGGATGTGTTGGCTTTCTCCTCTGTTTTCTGATGATCACAGAGGTGTCTCCTCACATAAGAAATCTCCCACGAGAAGTCACAGACCCTGCCCAGAGTCCGCCACAGGTGGTTAGACACCTATCCATCAGGATGCTAGTTCCCTCTGGGACCGCCTATGGGCTGAGCAGCCTACCCCAGCGCTGTGGGTTACTGTCACCACGGAGGAACTTGTAACAGCATCAGAAACCTCCTGGGACCACATGCTCGGCTTCAGTTCCTCGGTGCTAAGGTTCTCGGATGCACCTGAACCCTCACAATTTCCCACACTCAGAAGGGGAAATCAAAAGTAGTGGAAGAAGCAGAAATGGACAGCTGGGACCGTTGAGCTGAAAAGCCATGGCGGCCACTCCACGCAGGAAGTCAGCTTTCCGAGAAACTAAGACGTGGGTATTCGGCACGCAGTAGCCTGCGAGGGAACACACAGGGTCCCCCAGATCGGATCTCAAGGGCTCTCAGTGAATGCCCAGGTCACACACTGCTAGACAGGCTAATGGGAGCCCATTTGAAGGCACAAATATGGACGTGAGACACTGAGTGGGGACAACCAGGTGCAGGACAGGACAATCAGAGGACCCCCCGCATGTCCTTTTCAAGAATGCATTCTGCGTGTTTGTATCAGGAATAACACAGGGGTGATATTGCATCCTGAAGTCATTTCAATAAGCACATGAGATGGCCATGCCCCATTCTTGGCAACATTGATTTGGATCACTTGGCTAAGGGTCTGCCGGCTCTCTGCACTGTGAGGTTGCGATTTTTCCTTTTACAGCCAGTGAGCAGCCTGTGGGGAGATGTTGTGAGTACCTCCTTTCTCATCTGCCCCAGCTGCGAGCAATCAACCCAAGAAGAGGCCCCAGCTGGGAAATCCATGTGGACACCTGTGTGCTGCACATCTGCGTCTATGTCTCTGTGTGTGTGTGTGTGTGTGTGTGTGTGTGTGTGATGTAAAACTCGTTTCTTGCCTCAGTGGCTCCCTGGGTGCTGGCACCTGCCCAGCTTGCTTGGGACTTTCACCTCCTTGCTGCCCTTCTCTGGGCACGGGGCCCCACATGTGTGTTGATACGCTTCGTTGCAGCTGTGCCACCCTGCCTGTTTCCTCCATCTCTGTTTAGAAGCTGCACCAGCACTTCCCTATTTTACCCTTTCCACACTGACCCAGTTACGTTTGAATTACTCAACAAGAATGCTTCCTGCATTCCCCAAGCTACCCCACCCATGACCCCTGATAAAGGCCCCGGCCCCTGGGCCCTGGCACTTGCTCTCGCCCTGCACCCTGGCCACACTTCAGACCTAGGAGGACCTCGTGTGGAGCTCTGGGCAACACAGCCTCCCCCTCTAGGACCTGTGAGTACAATAACTCCCTGGGTTTCCCAGGCCTCTGGCATCTCATTTCCGCAGCCCTGTCGGGATGATTCCTGAAGACCCACAGGGAACTGACATCCCCTTGCACAACAGGTGTGTGTGTGTGTGTGTGTGTGTTAACAGCTATGAGTTCACACCTTGGTTCCTATCCAACAGCAATGGTTTCCTTCTACGCCTTCCTTTCCCTTATTGTAACTTCATTCTTGGGCAGGAAATAACCTTGATTTCATCAATAATGTATGAAGAATCTTTGAAAAGTTCATGAAAATTACATCTTATGAAACAACTATGTATGGATTTCAAAAACTGTTTTCATTGAAATGAATTTTTTCTTTTTTGGACAGGCAGAGTGGACAGTGAGAGAGAGAGACAGAGAGAAAGGTCTTCCTTTGCCGTTGGTTCACCCTCCAATGGCCGCTGCGGCCAGCACACCAAGCTGATCTGAAGCCAGGAGCCAGGTGCTTCTCCTGGTCTCCGATGCGGGTGCAGGGCCCAAGGACTTGGGCCATCCTCCACTGCACTCCCGGGCCACAGCAGAGAGCTGGCCTGGAAGAGGGGCAACCGGGACAGAATCTGGCGCCCCGACCGGGACTAGAACCCAGTGTGCCGGCGCTGCAAGGTGGAAGATTAGCCTAGTGAGCCGCGGCACCGGTCTCAGTCATTTTTGTCCTTGGCTTTGGAGCCAAAATCCTACTTTCCAAAATTCTCTATGTTACCTTCCCTTCACTACTCACTTTGGTGTGATTATAATATTGACTGTAATACAGTTAGGTCTCCTTGTAACTGCTTGCATTTCATTTGGGTTTCCTTCCACATCCTGACTCATGGTGGATCTTTGTGGATGTGTTGATTTCATATATGAAACACCAGCATGGTTTGAAGACTCAGAGCTGTACAAAAGGTGTCAAGAAGGGTCAGCCCACCCCTATCCATCCATTTGCAGCCTCATTCACTCTGCACACAGTTCGCTAGTTTCTCATCTAGCCTTCCTGTAATTCTTTATTTTACAAGTGAGCAGGTACATGTAATTTTTTTTAGATTTATTAATTTGCAAGGCAGAGTGACAGAGAGAGGAGGAGAGTCAGAGAGCAATCCTCCATCTGCTTCTATTCCCCACAGGGCTACTTGAGCCATCACCCACTGCTTTCATCAGGGAGCTTAGATCAGAAGTGGAGCAGCTAGAACTCGAACCAGCATTCTGATATGGGATGCTGGCATCAAAGGTAGCAGCTTGGGGCTGGTACTGTGGCGTAGCAAGTTAAACTGTGGCCTGTGGCGGCAGTATCCCATATGGGCCCTGGTTCAAGTTCAGGCTGCTCCACTACTGATCCATCTCTCTGGTGATGTGTCTGGAAAAGCAGAAGAGATTGGCCCAAGTCTTTGGGCCCCTGTGCCAACATGGGAGACCTGGAGGAAGTGTTTGGCCCCTGGCTTCAGCCTGCCCCAGCTTCAGTCGTTGTGGCCATTTGGGAAGTGAACCAGTGGATGGAAGAACTACGTGTGTGTGTGTGTGTGTGTGTGTATGTCTTTCCTTTCTCTCTTTTTCTGTAGGTCTGCCTTTCAAATAAATAAAATAAACCTTAAAAAAAAAAAAAAAGGTGGCAGCTTTACCACTGTACCATAATGCTAGCCCCTGTGTATTTTCTTATACCTCCTGATATCTTTGGGGGACATACTTTTATTAGGAAAGTTAGAATCCCTTCTTCCTGACAGTGGTGTAATGTCCATTTGAAAACATCACAAACAGAAACAAAAAAATGGAACCCATCTCTTTAAAGAAAAAAATATTTCTTTATTTGAGAAGCAGAGTTACAGAAAGAAAGGGGAGAGACAGAGAGAAGTCTTTCATCCACTGGTTCATTCACAAATAGCCGCAATGGCCAGAGCCAAGCTGATTTGAAGCCAGGAGCCAAGAGCTTCTTCTGGGTCTCCCACTTGGATGCAGGAGCCCAAGGACTTGGGCCATTTTCTACTGCTTTCCCAGACCATTAGCAGAGAACTGGATTGGAAATGGAGCAGCCGGGACTTGAACCAGTGCCATGCGGGATGCGGGTGCCACAGGTGGAGGCTTAACCTACTATACCACAGTGCCAGCCCCATCCATCTCTTTCCTTCATAGATTTTTGAGGACATTTTGTACAATATCAGCAACTGGAAAGTTTCCAGCAGTCTTATTCCCAAGTGCTTGACTGACTCATAATTTACTAAGAATTTTCCTGTACCAAACAATTCAGGAAACATATCACCTAAGACTAAATTGGAATAACATCTCATGGTTGACAGCTTTTATTTCTTTATTCCTCCATGTGTGGGAAAGCCACAGTTTGTTCAAGCAATGTCTCATATATAAGAATTTAGGTTGTTTATTATATTTTGGAAAAACAAATGATGCTGCTGTGAATAACTCAAGCATATGAATTTTTGGAACTTTAAAAAGTACACAGTGTTTGTATAATTTATGCAGTAATGGCAAAGGAAATACCTAGAGCTATTTTCTGAGAGTGATGATGTTCAACAGATACAAACATTTAAATTTTTAGTAACTAATTTGAGAGGCAACAAGATGGGAGGAGGGAGGGGAGTGAGGGGGAGACCCCCATGTGCAGGTTCAGTCCCAGAAGACCTGCCATGGCCTCAGAGGCCAAGCTGGGAACAGGAAGCCAATCCAGGTCTCCCACATGGCTGCCAGGAACCCAACAACTTGAGCCATCACTGTTGCCTCCCAATAGCAGGAAGCTGGAGTCGGGAGCTGAGACAGGAATAGACCCCAGGCAGTCTGATTTGGGGCACAGGCACCTTAACCAGCATCTTAGTTGCTAAGCCATATACCCACCCCGATACAAATATTTATAAGAACATTTTATGGCCGGTGCTGTGGGTCAGCAGGTAAAGCCACCACCTGAGATGCTAGCATCCCATTTAGGCACCAGTTCGTGTCCCGGTTGCTCCACTTTCAATCCAGCTCCCTGCTAATGTGCCTGGAAAGGCAGAAGATGGCCCAAATGCTCGGGCCCCTGTCACCCACATATGAGACCTGGAAGAAGCTCCTAGCTTCTGAATTCAACCCAGCCTAGCGCTGGCATTCTTGCAAATGCATGTTCATGGATATCATCAAAAGGAACCTCCTTGCTATATCTGTATACAGTATAGCCACCGCCCCTTATATCGTTTGGTTCTTTATTGCTCATTTCACTCGCCCACGGACTTTCTCTTTCATTGCATTCTCTCCATGAGCCTGAGAGGTAGATAGGTCAGAATCCATCCATTTTACAGATTAGTACGTGGAAACTGAAATGACTAGGTCAAGACCGCATTGTCTCAGAAACCAGAATCAGACAAAGATTTTCTCACTTGAATTTTAATTCATCTTCCGTGACCCCGCACTGCCTCTCATGAAGAAGAGAAATGAGGAATGAGCTAACCAAATGCCGGCCACAGTCAGGGCTCACCTCTACCGCGTGGCCAGAGTCTGCCCAGCCACACCGCCAAAGGGACACAGTGAATTCGCAGTGCAGGCTCTGCCCGGGTGCGGGAGGCTGGGAGAACACAGCTAGTCGGAGACAAGCCCAGAGGTTAAGCGGCTGCTCTGGACGCCCCCCTCCCATATCAGAGTTCCAGCTTTGAGGGCCAGCTCTACTTCCTGCAAGGCAGCAGGCGATGGCTCAAGTATTTGGGTCCCTGCCATACCTGTAGGGGAGACCTGGAGTGAGTTCCCGACTCCTGGCTTCAGCCTGGCCTAGCCCTGGCTGTGGTGGACTTTTTGGAGAGTGTCGTCTCTGTCTCTCTGCCTTTTGAGTCAACTTAAAAAAAAAAAAAACAAAAAAACAAAAAAAACAAGTCCAGGACAAGAGAGGGCATAACAACAGGGCCGGGGTGGGGCTGGGGGGAGGGGAGGGGAAGCGCACGTAGACAAAAATCTCAGCACGGGGCAGCCGTAGAGAATGTTCCATCACCTGCGACTTCCAGCCACGACCGCAGGTTCGCCATTTATTTGCCTGTCTTGTGTGAGTTCAAGGTGCCTGTCTAAAACTAGTGCGTGAGCAGCCGTGTTCCACCCCCTTACCCCGTGAGAAGCACCTGTTCACCTTACCAGTTCAGTGAACTCCCTCCCCCGGGGCCTCTGTGCTCCCAGCGGTGGGGACAGAAACTGCGCTCTTAGGCCGTGGACAAGCCACTGAATCGCCTCGCGAGCCGGCGTCGCCCGGAACCTCCTTTGAGAAGCAACCCCAAGGCTACTGACACCCACTTTTTCCCCGACAGCGCCTAGCAGCCAGGACCCTGCGTGGAGATGCAAGCTCCGGGGGCGCCCGTGGTCGTGGTGACTCAACAACCCACATTCCGGGCTCCGCAGAACTCCAACTGGCAGACGGGCGTATGTGACTGCTTCAGTGACTGCGGGGTCTGTAAGTGCACGGGGTGGGGTGGGGAGGCGCCCCGGAGGGGCATGGAGGCGATCACCAATGACCAGGTCCTTGCCCACTTCCTCCAGCACTGTGTGCTAAAAGCCCCTCTTATTTTGGCCCCCGGTAACTCAGGCCACGGTGTGTTTCACCAAAAAGGCTCTGTATTGAGTATGCATTTAGTCTTCTCCAGTCTTCCAGAGACTAATCTGACTCCTAAAGGAGGTTGCAGAGTCGAGAGAGCCATGATAGGGCTCAGTGATTCTAACAATCAACAGGTCTGGCCTTCTGATTTGCGAACAGACTTTACATTAATAAAAGAAACATTTCAAGTTTAACTTGATTTTTTTTAATGGTTCCTGTCGCCCATGAATTAAATGTGATTGCATTACATGCAGGACACACAGGGTCGTTTTCATCCGTGATCTCGGCACGAGCGCAGGTGTTGTCTCCAGGCGGGTTTTCTGTGTATCTGTGAGTTAGGACAATTAGCTCGTCTTGGAGAAAAGGGGTCGCTGTGTGTCTTGGGCTCCTTTTTGGAAGCTTGCTGACTGGCATCCCCAAGAACTCTAAGTGAAGCTGGGGACAAGGAGATCTGTGGGTGAGAAAGGGGGTGCAGAGAAGACGGAGGTGCTTAGTTCTGAGGGTCCACCAGCAAGCAAACCACTCACCCCCAAGGATTTTGTCCTGAAGTCTCCTTACCCGTCTCCAGTCTACGCGGTATTTTTAGACGAGGAGAGAAAATACCTGAACCTTGAATTTACCTGTGAAACTGAACTTTAAACTGAACCATGTTAATAATTACAATGAGAGGAAAAAGTACCCAAGAACCAGGGCCGCTGGGTCTGTTGATTGGTGCCTCTTGGTCTCAGGAGATAATCTGGGCCAATTATCTTCGCAGGACATTAGCCGGACATCTGTAAATCAAAGTGACAATTACACGCCACCAGGAAAACTCTCTCAAGATAACCATTAATCCCTTCCACCCCCGGAATTATTATCCAATTAAATGAATTAAATTCTAACGTGAGCTTAATTGTTTCAGAGCAGATTTTCTTAAACGCAGATCTGCCTGGCTCATCGCCCACCTTTAAAATGTGTCTATGGTCCCTGCAGACTTCCATGGCAAACGCAGAGCGCTGGCGGTCCCTTGTCATCTGATCCCCAGCCTGCTTCCCTCCCATCCTGTCCTCGTGCTCGGGCTGCCCAGTGAACAGAGAGCGAGAGACGGAGAGAGCGATGTATCACTATCTTCTTCGAATTCTATCTGTGAACTACACTGAATCTGTGATCTTTGTATTATCACATCACGTGGGAACTAATGAGAATTGTCTTGTAATCATTATTGTACGTTGGCTGTGACCCTGAGAATTGAATGTGTTAATACATTCCTTAAAGGGACGGTTCTTTTCCTTTTTTCTTCACCTTGAAAACTCTTTTTCATCCCTTTTAAAAAAATATTTATTTATTTGAAAGAGTTACACAGAGAGAGAAGGAGAGGCAGAGAGAGAGGTCTTCCGACCGCTGGTTCACTCCCCAGCTGGTTGCAACTGCCAGAGCTGTGCCAATCCGAAGCCAGGAGCCAGGAGCTTCTTCCAGGTCTCCCACGTGGCTGCAGGGTCCCAAGGACTTGAGTCATCTTCCGCTGCTTTTCCAGGCCATAGCAAGGAGCTGGATCGGAAGTGGAGCAGCCAGGACTCAAACAGGCGCCCCTATGGGATCCTGGCACTGCAGGCAGTGGCTTTACCCACTATGCCACAGCGCCAGCCCCCCATTCCTCCTCCAGTACTCAGCTCAAGGAGCATTTTCCACTCAGGGCCCTGGCGTCCTAAGCAGATTTCCGTGGGGGCACCTTTTGTCCTGGTTCCCTACTGCATGCACTGAGCAACACAGAAAATAATATCTGGAACATGGACAGGTCCAGTGGATCAATGAATGAGTGGATGGAGACAGTCCCACGGGAAGAATGAAAGGCTCTCTAAGGTGTAGACATTCCAGAAATGATTTGGGAGTTGGGGGAGAAGCTGATGCAGGGCCCAGTAGGAACACTGAAGATGGACAGGGTACATGGCTGAGGCCCGTGATGTGACTGCTGCTTGTGGACGTGGCCTGACTCTGACTCTAGTGGGGCCGAGTAGAGTAACCAGTATCCCTGGTTTCCTGTGTCCAGGTCTTTGTGGCTCATTTTGCTACCCGTGCCTTGGATGTCAAGTCGCAGCTGACATGAATGAATGCTGTCTTTGTGGAACATCTGTGGCCATGAGGACTCTCTACCGGACCCGATACGGCATCCCTGTGAGTCTTGCAGGATAGCACATCATTCAAACGGGCAACCACCTACCAATCGTTACACACACGGAGGACGCTGGGTGATATGCGTCATCTGAATTTGGTTGGTTATAGTTTCCTAGCGTGTGCAGTCCTATTCATTTGCATCACTAGATCCTCTGGTTATGTGACTTTCATCTAGGTTTTTGTTAAAAGCCCTAGAAAATAAGCAACTCATGTTTGCATGTATACCATACAAGGAAAGAGGGGGCTTTAGACCATACTATGTCCCAGATGTGTGACATGATGCGCGCTTCATCCCCTCACCATCCCTGTTCAGTGAGTAAGTCCACAACATTTTGCACATGAGGACTTCAAAGCCTTTGGAGGTGGAGTAATTTGCCTAAAGATGCATTAGTAGCAGAGAGACAGAGTGTAAGTATTTGATTCTAACTTCTATGCATGCACCTTCCATTACATCTACTTCTTTTTGTGTAATAGAAGAGTAAATTAGTTAGGGTCTCCAGAAACAGAGCCAATAGGGTGGGTGGATACGTGTGTGTTTTCACATATATGTGCATACATGTGTGCGCCATATATGTATATACCCACACATATGTATCTTTGTATATATACAAGGGAAATGTGTGTATATGCATACATATGTCTCCGTATATACATATATATGCCTATACAAACATACATATAAAGGGGGTACTCAAAAGATGTGTGGAAAATGGAATTAAAAGATTAGTTAGGGACAGGTGTTGTGGCACAGTGGGTTAAGCCACCACCTGGGATGCCCATATCCCATACTAGAGTGCCAGTTTGAATCCTAACACCTCCATTTCTGATCCAGCTTCCTGTTAACACAACCCCTCGAGGCAACAGATGATAGCCCGAGTGCTTGGGCCCCTGCTCAAGGTGGGAAACCCCAATGGAATTCTGGGCTCCTGGCTTCAGCCTGGCCCGACTCTGGTTGTTGTGGGCACTTGAGGAGTGAACCAGCTGAAGGAAGATCTCTCTCTCTCTTTCAAGTAGATTAAAATAAATAAACATTTTTTAAAGATTTATTTATTTATTTGAAAGGCAGAGTTACACAGAGAGAGGAGAGGCAGAGAAAGAGAAAAAGAGAGAGGTCTTCCATCCAGTGGTTCACTCCCCAATTGGCTACAATGGCCGGCACTGTGCTGATCCGAAGCCAGGAGCCAGAAGGTTCCTCTGGGTCTCACACGCGGGTGCAGGGCCCAAGGACTTGGGCCATCTTTTACTGCCTTCCCAGGCCATAGCAGAGAGCTGGGTCGGGAGTGGAGCAGCCGGGTCTTGAACCAGCACCCGTATGGGATGCCAGCGCTTCCGGCCAGGGCATTAACCCACTGTGCCAAAGGGCTGGCCCCTAAATAAACATTTTTCTTAAAAAAGACAAATTGACTTTGATGCAAAAGATTTTGAAATTGTATGTGAGTGGAAAGAGAGAGAATTCAGGGAGCTGGTTATACGACTGTGGAGGCCAGCAGGCTAGCAGTTCATGGTCACTCAGGCCATGTACACGCAGAATTCCTTCTCGCTCAGGGGAGTGCAGTGTTTTTCCATATTAACATCCTCAATCGATTGCATCAGGCCCACTCGCATGGTGAGAATGATCTGCTCTCCTCAAAATCTAAAGTATATTTTCACAGAAACATCTAGAATAGTAATAACCAAATACTTGTTACATAGTTTAGCCAAGCTGACACACAAAATTAACCATCACAGGGAACAAATGAATATGTAAAATGTTTTAAGAATTTATTTCTTTGAAATTCTTTTTTCCCATAAAATAGTTATCATTTTTAATTATAAAAATGCTACAGATAATTTTATGACATGCAAACACAGAAGTTTACAAAATGAAAATCTAACCTCTTTATATCCAATTCCACTACCCAGTGATAAACTCCACTAATAATTTGATATCTTCTCTCAGGGTTGTTTTTTTTCTCCCCCGAGAATCTTTTATACTTTGTGCATTTCATAAGTATGGCTTTAAAATTTATCAGTGCCCTGAGGCAAACACTTTTTCATGGCGATTTAATTTTACAGGGCGGTTTGTTAAGAAAAGCAGCAGTCCCCACACTTCTGTTGCCTGCTCCTTCCCCAGGGCTGGGTGTTTGGGAATTTCCCTCCATATCCTCAGATGTTGACTTTTCAGCTGGGGACAGTATCTCCTGACCTCCCACCATGTAAGATGAGAATTTAGCTCTGTCTTCTCCCCTTTCTAACCCCACCCACGGGCCCTCCCCCACCAATATAGTTATATGTAATTTTGGTTAATTACATACTCAATATTTACCTTATGATACCTACATTTGCTTTATCCAGCTCAAGTTGAGTCATGTAATGAATACGATCACTTTTCCTCCTAAACTTTGTTTTACCTGTTATTAATAACTACCAGTTGGTTTGATTAAATTTCCTCCATTTATTTATGAGTACTTTACCCCACATTCTTGGCCAGTTTTCTAAATCTCTTGCAAAAGACATCCTATCGTTTCCATCTTCCTCTTGAAATCTCTTCCTGACCTCCTACCCTTTGAACTAATGGTCCTTCATTCCAGGTGCTTAACTCTTACCCTAGGACCCTTCCCCATGACCCTAGTTTCCACTGTCCCCTCTCTTATGTGAGACTACTCTGCCTTCCAGCCCATAACATCCTCTTTCTTGATTTGCTCCCTCATTTTGATGGAACACATCCTCTAGTAGCTTTCTGAAATAATGAAGGGGTGTGGGAGAAAAGAATTTTGAAACTCCTCCAACTCTTACCCTCATTTTACTAGTTTGTTTGAACCTCTTCTTACATTTTCAGATTTATAAAGTAATGGGGAAACTGATTATGTCATTAAAAAAGACATTTCCTTCAAGGCATCCATCCAAACAAAAGATTGGTGCCTTCTGTTTCTCTTTAAGTTGTCTAAAAATCCAAGTCTAAACTCCAAATAAGTGCATTTTACATTTCTATTTCTTTTCTGCTTTCAAACAGGGGTCCATTTGTGATGATTATATGGTGACCCTTTGCTGTCCTTACTGTTCTGTTTGCCAAATCAAGAGAGATATCAACCGAAGGAGAGCCATGAACGCTTTCTGAAGGACCATGGTGAGTCAGAGCAAACCTTCCTCCCAGAATCTGGACTTTCGAGAACGATAAGGAAGGGTTTTTGTAAATTCCTGTTGTTTTGAATAATAATTCAGTAATAACAATTTAAGGCTCCCAACTTGCTGTCTTACTATAAGGTTTTGATTTCTTCCTACAAAGAAGAAAACTCTACACTTTAAAACCATATTTTAGTAAATAAAGGAATGGTGAATTTTCTAAACTTCTCAGGATTCTGTTACTCTATTAATGAAGCCCTTACCACCTGCAAAATACCAGAGCATGGTGAAATCCAAAAGAAGTAGATATTATGCTGTCTGCTAAGACAAACTGATCTTTAAAATTGGTATATAATTATGAAATAGAGATAATGGGCCTGGTTCTGTGGCATAGAAAGTAAAGCCACCACCTGCAGTGCCAGCATCCCATATGGGTGCTCGTTGAGTCCCAGCTGCTCCACTTCTGATCCAGCTCCCTGCTAATGTGCCTGGGAAAGCAGAGAAAGACGGCCCAAGTGCTTGGGCCCCTGCAGCCATGTGGGAGACCTGGAAGAAGCTCCCGGCTCTTAGCTTCAGATCGGCCCAGCTCTGGCATAGCAGCCATTTGGAGAGTGAACTAGCAGATAAAAGACCTCTCTCTTTCCCTCCCTCTCTCTCTCTCTCTCTCTCTCTCTCTCTCTGCCTCTGCCTCTCTGTAACTCTGCCTTTCAAATAAATAAATAAATCTTTAAAAAATATTAAATATATTTTTAAAATAAAATAGAGCAAATTAAAAGTATGTGTTATAGAATACTTTGATTAATTGTAATATAAAGCATCTATCACAGTGAGGTGAGCTTAAATAGAAAATTCTATTAGAGAAGCTGACTTTCAAAGGGAGTAGATACAGAATTTAGAATATTTGGAAGTATTACATTGAATTTCACCTTTGAAAAAATGTTTGAAAGATCTATTTATTTGAAAATCAGAGTTATAGAGAAAGAGGGAGAGGTACAAAAAGAGAACACCAGTTCCTCCCCAGATGGCCACAACAGCCAGGGCTGGGCCAGGATGAGTTCAAGAGCCAGGAGCTTCATCTGGGTCTCTCATGTGGTTGACCGGGCCCAAGCACCTGCGCTATCTTCTGTTGCTTTCCTAGGCCATTAGCAGGGAGCTGGATCAGAAGTGGAGCAGCCAAGACACCAACCGGCTCCCAAATGGGAAGCCAGCGTTGCAGACTGCGGCTTTACCCACTACACCACAGTGCCAGCCCCCAGTATCTGAAATTTAATCAAGTCATGGTCAACTAATTTTTCTCAGACTTCTCTATCGAGGATATAGTTAAGTAGGAATCAACACGATTTTGTGAGTCCTCTATGGAGTATGGAAAGGAAACGTTCATTCTTGCATTCTTTGCAATATCCCACTTCCTTTCATAGTGAGTGAAAACTCTTTATGGTTAAAAAACTAACTCTTTGGAGGTAGGTTTTTCCAATGTCCATTATTTCCCAATTAATGTGTTCTGGATCTACTGCCGTGTAAGATACCATGGGGGTTGTGCAGGACAAGAACAAAGGAGCTGCCCCCCTCTGTACTCACAGAGGGGCTCAGACCACCCCCTCATTAAAAAGGCAGCATTTTCCAGATGCCTTTGGACCAAGTGCCATGTCCTGTTCTAAGGAGGAAGATGATGTCTCATGAAATGGATGAGTGAAATTTTCTTGAAAGGAGTGGTTTCTGGCCAGCGCCGTGGCTCAACAGGCTAATCCTCCGCCTTGCGGCGCCAGCACACCAGGTTCTAGTCCTGGTCGGGACGCCGGATTCTGTCCAGGTTGCCCCTCTTCTAGGCCAGCTCTCTGCTGTGGCCCGGGAGTGCAGTGGAGGATGGCCCAAGTGCTTGGGCCCTGCACCCCATGGGAGACCAGGAGAAGCACCTGGCTCCTGCCTTTGGATCAGCGCTGTGCGCCAGCCGCAACGTGCCAGCCTTGGCGGCCATTGGAGGGTGAACCAACAGCAAAGGAAGACCTTTCTCTCTCTGTCTCTCTCTCTCACTGTCCATTCTGCCTGTCAAAAAAAAAAAAAAAAAAAGGAGTGGTTTCTCATTCTAAAGAGGAAATGTGTGTCCATTCACAACAAATAGAAGAAAGTGAGATTGGGATCATGGAAGGCTTGAATGACGGCTGCTTGTGAAGGTGGGGGTTGGGGCACAGAGGGAAAGGACAGGGATGGTGCAGTAACCAGGCCAGCTACAGCTAAGCTGCTACCGCCCCAGGTCCCAGGGAGCAGAGGAGGGTGCAGCTACCTGAATTCAAACCCAAGTGGAAGCCAGGGACCAGGAATTCCATCTGTGTCTCCCAAGTGGGTGGCCAGGGCCCAAACACTCAACCATCATCTGCTGCCTCCCAGAGTGCGTATGAGCCAAAAGCTGGGTGGGAAGCACAGACGCTGGACGCAAGCCAGGCTCTGCAACACGGGACGCGGCCTTCCAGCAGCAGCTTTATCTGCCGCACAATACCATTCCTGTAAACGATCTCTCGACTCCGTCTTCCGTAACCATTGTGAAATGCTCTGTTCAGCGGAGAAACCTGACAAAACTCCCTTGGTCAGGTGATCCATTATCTTCATGGTCTTCTTCCCAAAACCTCATGACTCCAGTCCAACCAGGAGACACGTATCAGACACACGAATCCCCCTCAAGACTGCCAAGGTCATCAAAAACAAGGAAATTGTTTTGATGAAAAACAATCATGTCCAGAGAAATCTAAGGAAATACAAGGACTAAGTGAAATGTGGTATCCTGCATGGATCCTGAAATAGAAAAAGGATCTCAGCTAAATATACAGGAATGTGAATAAATCAACATCGGTCCATTCCTTGTGACAAAACTAACAGGAAAACTGGGTACAGGGTCTGTGGGGAACTCTTGTTGCTATCTTTGCAACTTTCCTGGGAATCTAAATGCATCTGCCTTTAAAAGTTTATTAAAAACAGGGACCAGAGCTGTAGCATAGTGGGTAAAGCTGCTGCCTGCAGCCACAGCACCCAATATGGGCACCGGTTTGAGTCCTGGCTGCCCCACTTCCAATCCAGCTCCCTGCGAATGCACCTAGAAAAGCAGTGGAAGATGGCCCATGTCCTTCGGCCCCTACATGCATGTGGGAGACCCGGATGAAGCTCCTGGCTGTGGCCTGGCCTAGCCCCGACCATTGCAACCATTTGGGACGTGAACCAGCAAATGGATGATCTATCACTCCTTCTCTCTCTCTGTAACTCTTTCAAATAAACAAATCTTTTTTTAAAAAAAAATTTTATTAAAAACAAAAAAAAAAAAAGATTGAGAAAACTTAAAGCTATTCTTTGTGTGTCTCTTTTAGGTCAAGAGCTCATATTTGAAGCAAATAAAATCAGCACATCCCTTCAGCTTGCATGGTTCTCCTTTTGTACCTGAAATACGATGAATCCCCTGAACCCATGGATGTCACGAAAAAAATCAAAGTTTTGAATGAAGTTGTCTGAATTTTGTTAAACGGTCCAGCCCCGTTTGTTCTTGCTTTTGTATTGTCACAATTTTTGGCTTACATATTTTAAAAATGAGATTTAAACTATAAACCGAATCTCATTTTACTAACAAAGTTCTCGATGCTTCTTTCCTCTCACCAGAATGTCTTTGTCACTAGTTAATTTCAAAGGTCAATTTCATAATTTTGTTCTCATACTTCAGTGTCAAAGCAGGAGATTCTGGTCCACAGCAACTCAATAGCATCCCACAGCGCCCCATACCAGAACACGAAGTTCATGTCCTCGCTGTTCTCTTCTGGTCCAGCTTCCTGCTAATGCGCCTGGGAATGCAGCGGGAGATGGCCCACTGCTACCCACGTTGGGAGATCCAGACGGAGCTCCTGGCTCCTGGCTTTGGCCCAGTCCCGGCTGTTGTGGCCATCTGGGGAGTGAACCAATGCATGAACGACCTCTCCCTACCCCTATTCCCATACATCACTCTGCCTTTCAAATAAAGAAATAAATCTTTTTTAAAAGAAATCCTACAGATAACTATCCTAAGACAGTTACGGTACATTTAGCTAATACTTCCGCACCTGTTCACATTGCTAATGCGGACAACGTGAGACTTTATGCCAAAAGCACACTATGTCTTTCTTCCCAACTGCACATCTGAGGGTGTGTGATGTCGTTGATTTCCCTTCCCTTTTGAATGTGAATTATCAAGGCAAGTAATAAAAATTCAATTACTAAATTCAGTATGACTCAATCTGGGTTAAATACTGATGAAGTGTGCGAAATAATTTTTCACTTTTCTTACTTTTTCGTCCAGCTGCAACATTTTGTCCAGATGAAATCTCACTCACTTCCTAATTCTCCTTGATTCTCTTTCTACACTTCTAAGTCCATTTCATCTGTTGGGGTGAGGAAGGGGAAGGCAATCTTTCTAGATTTATTGGGAAATTTCTATGAGATCAAGTTCAAAGCACGCAGAAGCTGGTAGGCACTCAGTGAACGTGAATGCTCTGTGTCTTCTGTTACTTGCCCTATACTCGTGGGTGCTTTGCAGGGTTCTGCCGAGGGCCACTTCCTTCATACCTCGTGGTCTCCTGAGACAGCGTTATCCATTCTCACGGGTTCAGCTGCCTCCCGTATGCCAAGGAGGACTCCGAAATCTGTGTTTCCATTTCTCCCTTACTACTGATCCTCAGGCTGTCTCCCTGACTGACCACTGAGCAAGTCCATCTGAGTGTCCCCTGGGCCTTCTCCACACAAGTCCAACATCACCTACTGAGGTATTCAAGGAGAGAAATCCAGGTATTAGTGACCCCTGTGGTCTCATCACATCCAGTCAGAGCCCCACTTCTCTTACCTAAACACCACCTGAAACCCCCAATGAGTGACTTATTTTTGCTGTATTCTCAGTACCTAGGGCAATGTCTGACACCAGGCTTTGGCCTGGCTCAAGCCCCAGCCATTTGTGGGGTGAACCAGGAGATGGAAGTGCTATCATTCTCCCTTTCAAATAAATAAAATAAATCTTAAAATAAATAAATAAAAGGTTTGGTAGAATTCATCAGATTCATCAGTAATGGGCCCAGTATTTTCTTTTATGGAAGGCTATTAATTAATGATCCATTTATTTAGTTTTATTTATTTGAGAGGCAGAGTGAAAGGGAAAGGGAGGGACACACACATATAGAGGCAGAGCAAGAGAGAGAATCTTCCATCTTCTGGTTCCCTCCCTGAATGGCCACAACAGCCAGGGCTGGGTCAGGTTGAAGTCAGGAGTCGGGAAGTCCAGCTAAGTCTCCAATGTGGGTGCCTTCCCAGGCTCATTAACTGGAAGCAGAATGTAAGGTAGATCAGCCAGGACTCGAACCAGCACTTCAACAGAGCATGCTGGTGTCGCAGGCGGCGCTTAACCAGCTGTGCCACACCAGACCGATTCAATTCCTTTAACAGGCATAGGCTTATTTCTTCTTGTGTGAGCTACGGCAGATTTTGACTTTCAAGGAATTGGCCTATTTTATCTCAGTTATGCAGTGTGTCAAGCTACAGCTGTTCAAAATACTCTTGATTATACTTTCACTGTTCATGGGACTATAGCAATGGCCCCTTCATTTCTGACATGAGTAATTTATGACTTCTTTTGATCTTAGCTAGCCTGGCTAAAGGGTTATTATTTTTTGAAATTTTTAAATTTAAAAAATTTAAACATTTATTTTATTTATTTGAAAGGCAGTTACAGAGAGAAAGGAAGAGTCAGAGAGAGGAGAGAGAGAGAGAGAGAAAGAGGGAAGCATCCATCCATCCACTCTACAAATGGCCACAACAGCTGGGGATGGGCCAAGTTGAAGCCAGGAGCCAGGAGCTCCATCTTGGTCTCCCACATGGGTGCGGGGGCCCAAGCTCTCGGTCCAACTTCTGCTGCTTTCCCAGGCACATTAGCAGGGAGCTGGGTTGGAAGTGGTGCAGCCAGGACTCCAACAGGTGCTAATATGGGATGCTGGCATCACAGGCAGTGGTTTAAACCACTGCACCACCATGCCCACTGAGCTCCAATTTTTTTTCTAATCTTTTCCAAGAATGAGCTTTTGGTTTCATTGATTTTTCAATGAGTAATAGGTCTCTAACTTTGTTTCATTAATTTCTGCTCTAATTTTTATTTCTTTTTTCTGCTTACTCTGATTAAATTGTTCTTTTTCTGGTTTCCTGAAGTAGAGGCTTAAATTATTGCTTTTAGGTCTTTTTTCTTTTCTAATACATGCATTCAGTGCTGTAAATTTTCCTCTGAGCATGCTTCCACTGTATCCCACAAATCTTGACAGGTTGTATGATTTAGTTTAAAATGTTTTATTGCTCTTGAGATTTCTTTTTGGATTCATGGCTTAGCAATGTGTTATTTAATCTGTAAGTGTACTTTGGGATTTTCCAACCATCTGTTATCATTTCTAGTTTAATTCCACTGTGGCCTGAAAGTCTACATTGAGTGATTTTCATGCCAGTTTGAGAATAACATGAACTCTGCTGTGGTTAGATGAAGTTGTCCACAACACAGACCTCAACTGTACCCAGTTGATTGACAGGACTGTTGAGTTCCACGGTGTCCTTACTGATTTTCTGCCTGTTGGATCTGTCCACCTCTGACAGGAGAGATCTGAAGTTTCCACCAGAATAGTGGGCTCATCTATTTCTCCTTGCAGTCTCAGCAGGTTTGGTCTTGCACATTTTGACGCTGTTGTTGACACTCTGCTTTTAAACGAGCATTTCATGACCCATTTTTCTCTCCTCTTTAGCACAGCAATTCTACATTAAAAAAAAATAGCCACTGCCCTACAGTTTGCAATGTACATGTTTAACTTATCTAAGTCCACTTTGAAATAACACTACACAGTTTCATGGTTCCGTGGGAACATTATAATACAGCATTCCTAATGCCTTCCCCCCATCCCTTCCAACACTTCTCATTCATTTCACTTACTCACATGCTATAATCCCCCACCTATTGCTGCTGTTAGTACTTTGAACAGTCATCTATTATCTCAATTGAAAAAATTTAAATTATTTTTATTTTCTGCTCCACTCTTCCTTTGTTTATGGAGGTCCAAGTTTCTCACCACCCCCCAAAGAAATCTTTTATTTAAGGAATACAAACTTCATGCATTTCCTAAGTACAACTTTAGGAGTATAGTGATTCTTCCCACCATACCCGCCCTCCAACTCACACTCCCACCCCTCCTCCTGCTCCCTCTTCCAGTCCCAGTCCCATTCTCCACTAAGATCCATTTTCAATTAACTTTATACACAGAAAACCACCTCTGTACTAAATAAAGAGTTCAACAATTTGCACACACACACACACACACACACACAGGAACTATTCCTAAAGTCAAGACAGTCATTGCATCTCGAAGTTAATTTCACTTTTTTTAGAAACTTAATTAACTTTAAAGAAGCATTCAAGAATGATACATCTTTTGTGAGCACTTAGACATTACTATAACTTATCAGACGTAAGAATATCCTCCACTTGATACGTTAAAAGAAAGTAAGTCCTTGAGAACAAGTTTTATCATTAATTAAGGAAGCACCTAAGAAAACAATGGAGTTGGGCACTTACACATAACTAAAACTTATGAGTCATAAGAATATCCTCCAATTAATACACTAAAACAAATCTTTGAAAACAAATTTTACTGTTAACTCTCATAATACAACTCTTTGAGGATAGAGGTCCTGCATGGAAAGTCAGTGCACAGTGACTCCTGTTGTTAATTTAACAATTAGCACTCTTATGTATGACATCAGTGATCACCCGAGGCTCTTGACATGGGCTGCCAAGGCTCTGGAAGACTTTCGAATCCACAAACTCCATCAGTATTTAGACAAGGCTATAAGCAAAGTGGTAGTTCTCTCCTCCCTTTGAGAGAAAAGTTGTAGGTCCGAGTTTCTAACCCATATATATTTCCTTCTCTCTGAAGAACTTTTTAAAATTTTATTGCAAGAAACATTACCCTTAGATTTGTTTTCTTTATTTCCCCTTTACTTTTGAAGGATAATTTTGCTGGATAAAATCCTATGGCTGGTGTTTTTTTTTTCTTTCATTGTCATAACTATTTCCATACCATTCTTACTTGCTTCATTTCTGAGGAGAAATTCATTGATTTTTATTTGTGTTCTCTTATAGGTAAAGTGGTTTTTTTTTTTCTGGTTTCTTTCAAGATTGTTTTAGGTTTTCTGCAGTTTGAACATGACATGCCTAGATATAGGGTTTTGTTTGGTTTTTGTTTTTTGTTTTTGGTATTTATCCTATTTAGTGTTTTCTGAGCTTTCCAGATCTATAGTTTGGTGTCTAATATTAATTTTGGAAAATTCTTATCCATTATTACTTTAAATATTTGTTCTCTTCCTTTCTTCTTCTGGTATTCTCATTACACGTGAAAACTTTTAGAATTTTCCTGAAGTTTCTGGATATTCTGTTAAATTTTGATTCCCTTTTTGACTTTGCCTTTCAACTTGGGAAGCTTTTACTGTTATTTCTTCAAATTTACTAATTTGTTCCTCACTCATGTGCAATCTAATGATGAGTTCGTCAAAAGCATTCATTTCTGTGACTTTATTTTTAGCACTTCAAATTCTTTTAAAGTTTATTTATTTGAAAGGCAGAGTTGGGGGGAGGGGGTGAGAGAGAGAAAAATGTTTTCCATTTGCTGGCTTATTTCCCAAATACCCACAACAGCCAGAGCTGTGTGAGGCTAAGGCCAGCAACCTGGAATTCTATCAGGGTCTCCCACGTGGGTGACAAGGACCCAAGTACTTGAATCATCATCCCTGGTGCATTAGCAGGAAGCTGGATCAGAAGCAGAGTAGCCAGGATTCAACCAGGCATCCCACAGGGCAGCATAACCCACTGCACAACACCTGCACTTAGCACTTCAATTCTCATTTCCATCTCTCTGCTTGTGAATACCCATCTGCTCTTGTATGTTGTCAACTTTTTCCACTAGACCTTTTTTTTTTCCAAGTAGAAATGGAAACATGTTAAGAGTTGTTTTTTAGGGGGCCAGCGCTGTGGCTCACTTGGTTAATCCTCAGCCTTCAGCGCTAGTATCCCACATGGGCGCTGGGTTCTAGTCCCAGTTGCTCATCTTCCAGTCCAGCTCTCTGCTGTGGCCTGGGTGCTTGGGAGCCTGTACCCGTGTGGGAGAACAGGAGGAAGCACCTGGCGCCTGGCTTTGGATAGGCATAGTTCCAGCTGTGGTGGCCATTTGGGGAGTGAACCAACGGAAGGAAGACCTTTCTCTCTCTCTCTCACTAACTCTATTAAAAAAAAAAAAAAAAAAGAGTTGTTTTTTAAATTTCTGGTCATATAATTCCAACACCTGCCAAGTCTTAGTCTAGTTCTGAACCTTGATATACGTCTTCAGATTGTGTGTGTCTGTGTGTGTGTTTCCTTGCCCTTTAGCATAACTTGTAACTTTTTGGCTGAAAGCTAGATGTGATGTGTCAGGTAATATGTAATTAGTCTGTTAATATGAGGTTTTTATGTTAATCTGGTAGGAGCTAGACCGTGTTCAGTGTTTGCTCTAAGTGACAAGAGGCTTCGGTTTTCTTGCTTTTGTTTTTGGGTTTCCCCAAGAATTGCTTCTTCTTCTTTTTTTTTTTGACAGGCAGAGTGGACAGTGAGAGAGAGAGAGAAAGGTCTTCCTTTGCCGTTGGTTCACCCTCCAATGGCCACTGCAGCTGGCGCATCGCGCTGATCCGAAGCCAGGAGCCAGGTGCTTCTCCTGGTCTCCCATGGGGTGCAGGGCCCAAGAACTTGGGCCATCATCCACTGCCCTCCCGGGCCACAGCAGAGAGCTGGCCTGGAAGAGGGGCAACCGGGACAGAATCCGGCACCCCGACCGGGACTAGAACCCAGTGTGCCGGCGCCGCAGGTGGAGGATTAGCCTGTTGAGCCACGGCGCCGGCAAGAATTGCTTCTTAAATAGTTTGTGTCTTGCAGATGTTTTAATCACGATCTATTACTATTATATTGGATCTCTGTTGATGTGGTGTTAAGGTATTTGGAAACATCCTATAATTTTAGATCTCTTTTTCAGTTGGCTGTGACTCTTCGAAGGATTTCTATTTCCCTTCCCTTCCATCAGACAGGAAGGCTAACAGAGGCTGGAATGACATGTCTACCCTTTTTTGGGTCCCACAAAGGGTAGGCTTTTGTTACCAAAAATTAGCTGGGTTTATTTCAAAATAGCTACTTCCCTGCCTGAAAGACAAGGGGATCCTGATCTTAACTGTGAGAACCTAGCACAGTTCTTTGAAGTAAACCCTAGAGAGTGTGGGGTCCCTCTTACAGCTGGGCCCTCAAGAGTTTTAACACAAGTGAGTCCACACTCAGTCTCCAACAGCTGCCAGAGTTACCATTTTAGCCTTCCTACCAATTCCTGGCTCCAGCAGCTCTGATCCGGGTAAGGTGACCGCCAATTGCGATTCTCCGTATTTGCTGCCTCTTCAGTTTGGAAGACTGTGGTTTGCCCTGCTATTTCAGATCTTTTATGGATCTAAGAAAAGCCAACTGATTTTTAGGCTGCCTAGTTTTCTTTTTTGGTTAACACAGAACCTTCAGCTTTTTTCGTTACTGTGAAGATGAATCTGATGGTTTCCATGCTCTTACAAGTCAAAGCTGAAAGCGGAAGTCCCACATACTTTTTCTTTAATCCTTTCTCCATTTTCACTAAAGCTCAGCTGAAGCGCACGGAAGGGCCTTCCCTGACTTCTCTCTGCTAAGGAAAGAGCTCCTCCTTGTGTGCCCCAGTGCTTGCTGCAACTTTACGAATTCAACAGGGGCACTTGGTCTGTGAACCCTGAGCGCCTGGAGGGCAGGCATGATGAATTCTATTTGTATTTCCAGCCCACGGCACAAATCAACGTCTGCAGAATGCAAGGAAAAAGGAACAAAACTCTAATTAAAACCAAAGTACTACTTTTATTTAGCTCATTTCTCGATTTATTAGAATAACCACATTTGGAGAGGCACAAAGCACTTAAGTTTTACATGACTACAAAGTTATCACAAATCCCAAACTTTTTAGCCACAGGTATTTCACCTACTCCATTGAAAGAAACAGCTTTCAAAACATCTGAGTTAGTTTAATGCACAGAGACCCTGAATATATGGAAACTAGCTATTTTTAAATGCTTGAACTTCCTGCTCTAATATCTTCTTTAAATGGAATCCAGCATAAAAGGGGTTGAAATGTATAAGGTCATGATGCAAATGCTTTGGAGAGACAGTGAAACCAATCTGCACAACATGGAAAAAGATGTAGTGTGCACACAAGTTCTGAGATGACTCACTGAGCCATCTGGGCTTCCATGGCTTGTGCTGTCCATTCTGGGGCTGTTTGACTAATTTTCTCCAAAAGGTTATTCACTTGGAAACAAAGTGACTGGATCTGCTTGTCCCATGTTGGCAGGGCTTCTCGTGCTAAAGGAAAAAGGAAATAATGTACAAGTTTGAAATTACTACTTTGTATTCATAACAAATATGAGTTAAAAGATACGGTAATCTAAGTCTTTAAAAGTTTACTACAAAACTTTTAAGTTAATAAAATTAAGCTAATTAAACAGTAGTTAAGAAAAGGACTAAATCACTGACACAAAGTTTAAAACAAAACTTCAAAACATATACAGATCCGTGTTATTATTATCACTTGTGGAAAAAAAAACTAACCAACCAACTTCAGCCACTACCACAACAAACAGACAGCCTCACGGAAGTGGTTTTTTCCTCTTCATCAACAACGACTGATTCATAAGCCACTGCCATCTACTGGGCAAGATCGCTGACATATTCAAGGCTATCTTTGCTTGGCTCTCAAATCATGAAAGAACAAGCCCAAGTCATAAAAGAACAAAAACAAAGCCTATCTTGGATCTGCCAGATTTTTCTCTATACCAGTAATATGTGGTTAGTAATGAAAAACTGGGGGCCGGCGCCATGGCTCACTTGGTTAATCCTCCGCCAGCGCTGGCATCCCATATGGGCGCTGGGTTCTAGTCCCGGTTGCTCCTCTTCCAGTTCAGTTCTCTGCTGTGGCCCGGGAAGGCAGTGGAGGATGGCCCAAGTGCTTGGGCCCCTGCACCCGCGTGGGAGACCAGGAGGAAGCACCTAGCTCCTGGCTTCGGATCGGCACAGCGTCAGATATAGCGGCCATTTGGAGAGTGAACCAATGGAAGGAAGACCTTTCTCTGTCTCTCTCTCACTGTCTATAACTCTACCTGTCAAATAAATAAATAAAAAAAAGAAAAACTGGGGGACAGCATTGTGGCTTAGTGGGTAAAGCTGCCGTCCATGATACTGGCATCCCATATGGGCACTGGTTCATGTCCTGCTGCTCCACTTCCCATCCAACTCCCTCCTAATGGCCTGGGAAAAGAAGTGGAAGATGGCCCAAGTACCTGGGGCCTTGTATCCACGTGGGAGATCCAGATGAAGCTCCTGGCTTCAGCTTGCCACAGTACTGCTTGTTGAGGCCATCTGGGGAGTGAACCAGCAGATGGACCATCCCCCCCCCCCCAACTTTGACTTTCTTTTCTTTTTTATTTTTTAAAAGATTTATTTATTTATTTGAAAGGCAGAGTTACAGAGAGGCAGAGGCCTAGAGAAATAGAGACAGAGAGGGGTCTTCCATCCACTGGTTCACTCCCTAGATGGGCACAACAGCCAGAACTGCGCCGATCACAAAGTCAGGAGCCAGGAGATTCTTCCAGTTCTCCCACGTGGATGCAGGGGCCCAAGGACTTGGGCCATCTTCTACTGCTTTCCCAGGCCATAGCAGAGAGCTGGATCAAAAAAGGAGCAGCCAGGACTTGAACCGGCACCCAGATGGGATGCCAGCACTGCAGGCAGCAGCTTTACCCACTATACCACAGCGCCAGCTCCTAACTTTGACTTTCAAAGTAAATAAATAACCTTGGCTTTTAAAGTAAATCTTTTTTTAAAAAAAATGAAAAACTGTAGATAAATTCACCAGTTTTCTGAATATATAAAATATCAGTCCTTGCCTCTTTTTTTTGATGCTTAAAGGGCACTTTTAATATAGTGTTTTTGTTTTTGTTTTTAAGATTTATTTATTTATATGAAAGTCAGAGTTACACAGAGAGAGGAGAGGTAGAGAGACAGAGAGAGGTCTTCCATCTGCTGGTTCATTCCCCAGATGGCTGTAACAGCCAGAGCTGAGCTGATCAGGAGCCAGGAGTTTCTTCTGGGTCTTCCACGTGGATGCAGGCGCCCAAGAACTTGGGCCATCTTCCACTGCTATCCCAGGCCATGGCAGAGATGGAATGGAAGTGGAGCAGCTGGGTCTTGAATCGGCATCCACATGGGATGCTGGCGCTTCAGGTCAGGGTGTTAACCCGCTGCGCCAGAGCGCTGGCCCCAGTTCTTGCCTCTTAATATATAAATTTTAAAAAAAGATTCCAGGTGCTGGCATTGTGGGTAAAGCCACTACCTGCAGTACAGGCAGTGCTGGCATCCCAGATGGCCAGCCATTCAAGGCCCGGCTGCTCCACTTCTGATCCAGCTCCCTGCTAACAGCTTGAGAAAAGCAGCAGATGATGACCCAGGTACTTGGGCCCTGCCACCTACATGGGAGATCCAGATGACATTCCTGGCTCCTGGCTTCAGCCATGGCCCAGCCTCCGCCACTGCGGCCATCTGCGGAGTGAACCAGTGCGTAGAAGACCTCTCTCTGTAACTACAACTTTTAAATAAATAAATAAATCTTTAAAAAAAAAAAAATGGAGGCTGGCACAGCAGGTTAAGCTGCAGTCTGCAGTGCCAATATCCCATGTGGGCACCGGTTTGAGTCCCAGCTACTCTACTCACGATCCAGCTCCCTAGTAGTACCTGCGAAAGCAGTGGAAGATGGTCCAGGTCCCTGGGGCCTTGCCACCCAAGTAGGAGACCTGGAAGAAGCTCCTGACTCGTGCCTTTGGCCTGGCCTAGCCCCAGTCATTGTGGCCGCTTGGGGAGTGAACCAGTGGGTGGAAGATCTCTCTTCTTCTTCCTCTCTGTAACTTTGCCTTTCAAAAAACTAAACAAATCTTTAAAAAGAATTTAAAGAAATTCCAAAGACAATCTCTCTTTTTATTTGTTTTCTAATCAGGACAAAATTATTAAAGTTAATATGGAAGTACAGGTGTTTCAGAATAAATTATTTTGAAAATGAAAAATAACAGCATACCACTCCACCTTAAGGAATAAAGTACTGACCATATGCTACAACAGGGAGGAACCTCAACAATACGATGCTGAGTAGGGGAAACCAAAAGGTCACACATGGCACGGCTTCATTTCCATGAAATATCCAGAACAGGTGGAGCCCTGGAGACAGAAGACCGACTTCTAGGGCAAGGGTGGAACCAGGATGCTGAATGGGCAGGGGTTCCCCTGGGGGAGATGGAAATGTTTTGTAACTAAACAGAGATGGAGCTTATGCAATATGATTATATTGCACTGAATTGTTTTCTTTGAATGTTTAATTTCATGTTAGGTGTATTTCAATTAAAAAAACTGGGGGGGAGTGGCAGGAGTGCTTGATCAGTAGTGAAGTTTACTATAAATCTGCTTATTACCATATTGTTCCAGATCAGTTGAACCAAAGAGATCCAAATATATATGTAAAATCTCAGATAGTAAAAAATCACACTTCAATGAAAAAGGATGTTTATTTAATATATGATAGATTTATCATATATATTTAATATATGTACAATTGACTACGCACCTAGAAAAAACTACTAGACCGTATCCTAAAATTATCCATAAAAATTAGCCATTTAATGATGAAATAAATTTCTACCTATAAAATAATAAATAAAAAATTTGAAGTTTTAGGAAAATAATAATGGAGGAGACTTTTTTTTAAAGATGCATTTATTTATTTGAAAGTCAGAGTTATACACAGAGAGAAGCAGAGGCAGAGAGAGAAAGAAAGAGAGAGAGAGAGGGCTTCCATCTGCTGTTTCACTCTCCAATTGGCTGCAACAGCCAGAGCTGCGCCAATCAAAGCCAGGAGCCAGGAGCTTCCTCCGGGTCTTCCCATGTGGGTGCAGGGGCCCAAGGACTTGGGCCATCTTCTACTGCTTACCCAGGCCATAGAAGAGAGCGGGATCAGAAGAAAAGCAGCCGGGACTCAAACTGGTGCCCATATGGGATGCCGGCACTGCAGGCAGCGGCATTACCCGCTACACCACAGTGCCGGCCCGAGACTTTTCTTAATACAGGAAATTCAAAGGCCATAAAATTTTTAAAAATTAACATATTGGGGCAAGTGCTGTGGCACGCTAGGTTAATCCTCCGCCTGCGGTGCCAGCATCCTAAATGGGTGCTAGTTCTAGTCCCAGCTGCTCTTCTTCCCACTCACCTCTCTGCTATGGCCTAGGAAAGCGGTAGAAGGTGTCCCAAGTTCTTAGGCCCCTGCACCTGTGTGAGAGACCTGGAAGAAGCTCCTGGCTCCTGGCTTCAGACTGGCACAGCTCTGGCCGTTGCGGCCATTTGGGGAATGAACCAGCAGATGGAAGACCTTTCTCTCTGTCTTTCCCTCTCACTGTGTGTAACTCTGCCTCTCAAATATATAAATGAAATCTTTAAAAATATTAACATACCTGGCTGCATAAAATATTCTAAAATGTGTTTATGCTATGTATTGCCTTCCAGAATAACAACTGACAAAGCATGAAAGATAGTTGTAACATGTAAAACAAAATTAAAATGATCGTTATCCTAAAAGCAACAGAAACTGACAGAGAGATGTGGGCAATGGAAGAAACAAAAGAAAAGCATGGGACCAGTGTTGTGGCATAGCTGGTAAAGCAGCTGGCTGCAATGGCAACATCCCATATGGGTGCTGGTTTGTATCTCAGTTGCTCCACTTCTGATCCAGTTCCCTGCTAATGGCCTGGGAAAAGCAGCAGATGATGGCCCCTGCTACCCACACAGGAGACCTGGAAGAAGCTCCCAAATCCTGGCTTTGGCCTGGCCCAGCCCTGACTAGTTTAGCCATCTGGGGAGTAAACCAGCAGATGAAGTTCTCTCTCTCTTTGTCTCTCCCTCTCTTTATAACTCTGCCTTTCAAATAAATAAAAAAATCTTAAAAATAAAATAAATGCACATTAAAATAATTAACATAATTATCTTCCCCCATCAACTGGCAATGATTAATAGAACAATAATACCCAACTTTAAGACTCATTCTCATACTGGTAGAATTCTAAATGGCACAGTTTTCTGGAAAAAACCGGTAGTATCTATGAAGAATTAAAACACTTATATCCTTTGATGCCATGGTATTACTACAGGAATATACTTATTCTACAGGAATAAGTATACCCATATATAAAGTGATATATAAGGAAAGCACCCGAATGTCCATCCACAAGTGAAAAGTTGAATTCCATAGACCATTATACAGCTATTAAGTAAATCAGATTGATATGTGACTTGAAAATATGTTTACAGGTACAATACACTCAAAAAGCAATTTGCATAATGTGTACTTTAAAATATAATGCCAGAGGTGAGTATTTGGCATAGTGGTTAAATGCTTGCAATCCAAAGAGGATGACCTGGGTTCGAGTTCTGGCTCTGGACCCCAATTCTAGTTTCCTGCTAACAGGTGTTTTGGGAGGTACTGTGTGAGAGATGAAGTAGCTGGGTCCCTGCCACCTATGTGGGAGACCTGGATTGATCTCTAGGCTCCTGGCTTCAATCTGGCCCAGCCCAACTATTAACAGGAATTTGGGGAGTGAACCTGCAGATGGGAGATTTATCTGTCTGTCTGTCTACCTCTCAAATAAAACAACTATGTGTACATGTGTGTGTATGTGCATACAAAATCCTGTAATCCACTTTGTATAAACACAAGACTGCCAGACTAATAGTTACATCAGGGAGCCTGGACTAGAGGAATGCAGGTGGGAGTGGAAAGATGACTCTTCCTTGAGTTACCCTCATTAATGCTTTACTTGAGCATATTAACTATTAGAATCTACTAAAATTTAATAAAATTAGAAGGAAAAGATTTTACATTCTGTCAAATTTATAGAAACTAATTAATTTAATTTGCTCTTTATCTTGGTGATATATTTGCTATGCTACTCATCATACATTGATATAGTCAATACTTATTTCTCACTTATAGTGTATAAACAATGTTCACATTGAAACAGACATTGGACATACCACAGAAAATAAGACTTAATTCCTACTATTAGGAGGCTTCGTTTGGAAGCAGAAGCATATATTTAGACAAATCATTACACAATTGATAATAAGTGAGGTAATGCTATGAAGAAAGTCAGGGTGACATGAGAACATATCATCTAAAGCCATACCTAATCTGGAGAGTTGGGAAATAATCACTGATTAACACTGTTCAAACTGAGACATGGGAAGAAACAGAAATGGCCGGAGAGGAGTAGATGCTTTGGAGTGTTTGATGGGAGGAAGGAATTTACAATGCTAAGAAAGAACATCTATGTTGCTGGGTTGGCAAGAGACAACTAGAAAGGACTAGTCAGGGTCTTTAAGATTGTTCAACAGGCAATGGGAAAGTTACTCATTAGAGCACAAGCAGGCACACAATATGAGACTGGCACTGTGGCATGGTGGGTTAAGCCAACACCAGCAGAGCTGGCATCCCATATGGGCGCCGGTTCAATTACTGGCTGCTCCTCCAATCCAGCTCCTTGATAAAGTGTCTGCCAACTCCAGCCATTGTGGCCATTGGGAGGTAAACCAGTGGATGGAAGATCTTTCTCTGTCTCTCCCTCTGTCTGTATCTTTGCCTCTCAAATACATAAATAAATCTTTAAAAATATATATGATTTAGTAGCTTGTTTGCTATTGCTCAAATTTTCGTTTTTAAAAAATCACAATCAGGGTGCAGTGTTGTGTCGCAGTGGGCTGGGAATGTAGGCTGGAGTTCCAGTGGCTCCACAGCTCTCTGCTAATGAGTCTGAGAAAGTAGCAGAACATGCCTCAAGTACTTGGGCCCTGCCACCCACACAGAGACCTGGATGAAGTTCCAGGTTCCCAGATTTGGCCTGGACTAACACTGGCCCTGGAACAGTCTCTGCCATTGCAGAAATTTAGGGAGTGAACCAACACATGGAAGCACTGTAGAATCTGCAGAGATGACAGTGCAGAATACTTGGAGAATCAGGAGGGAAACAGGAGAATGAGGTGGAAGAGATGGCAGAAGTCACGGCAGCACTGGGGAGGAGGAGAATGTTCTAAAAGCAGTGAGAGGTCAACATTGTTCATTACATTAAAAGCCAAATGAAACTTGAGAACTAGAAGGATTTTTGTTAAAATGGAAGAGACCTGAGCATGCTGAAGTACTGATGGACAGAAGCTAATAGAGAAAGAAAGGATGAAAACAGACAAAAGTTAGCTGCTAACCCCAGCCCTCTAAAACAGCATTTTTTTTTGGTGAGGGTGAGGAGACAGGGATTAGAGAAGGAATCCTAACCATAGTGGAAGAACTGGATAAGGAGATGGAAACCAGTTTCACTATAACAGGAAGGAAGAAAAAGATCTACATCATATATCCTAAAATTAGATTTTTATAAATCTGATGAAGTTAAAATAATTTTACATTGATAACTGATTTGTTGTTGTTGTTAAATAGGAAACAAGGTTTCCTGCTGAAATTGAAGGAGTAGTCAGATATTTAAGAAAAATAAAATCAGGGCAAGGTGCTGTGGTGAGCAGGTTAAGCCTCTGATACAGCGCCAGCATTCCTTATGGGTGCTGGTTGTGTCCTGGCTGCTCCTCTTCCAATCCAGCTCTCTGCTATGGCCTGGGAAGGCAGCAGAAGATGGCCCAAGTCCTTGGGCCCCTGAACCTGTGTGGGAGATCCGAAGGAGGCACCTGGCTCCTGGTTTTGGATTAGCCCAGCTCTAGCTGTTGTAGCCATCTGGGGAGTGAACAAATGGATGGAAGACCTTTCTTTCTGTTTCTCCCTCTCTGTCTGTAACTTTACCTTTCAAAAAATAAATAGAAATCTTAAAAAAAGAAATCTGGGGGCTGGCACTATGGTATAGTAGGTTAAGCCTCCCCCTGTGGTGCCAGCATCCCATATGAGCACTGGTTTTTATCCCAGCTGCTCCACTTCGATGCATTTCCCTGCTAAAGGCTTGGAAAAGCAGTGGAAGACGGCCCAAGAGCTTGGGCCCCTGAACCCACATGGAAGACCCAGAAGCTCCAGGCTCCTGGCTTTGGATTCACCCAGATTTGGCCATAGAAGCCATTTGGGGAGTGAACCAGCAGATGGAAGACCTCTCTATCTCTCCCTCTCTCTCTCTCTGTAACTCTGCCTCTCAAATAAAAATAAATCTTTAAGAAAAAGAAAATGTAGCCAGTGCCGTGGCTCATTATGCTAATCCTCCGCCTTGTGGCGCCAGCACACCGGGTTCTAGTCCCGGTCGGGGCACTGGATTCTGTCCTGGTTGCCCTTCTTCCAGGCCAGCTCTCTGCTATGGCCAGGGAGTGCAGTGAGGATGGCCCAAGTACTTGGGCCCTGCACCCACATGGGAGACCAGGAGAAACACCTGGCTCCTGCCATCGCATCAGCACGGTGCGCCGGCCGCAGCGTGCCAGCCGCGGCGGCCATTGGAGGGTGAACCAACGGCAAAGGAAGACCTTTCTCTCTGTCTCTCTCTCTCACTGTCCACTCTGCCTGTCAAAAAAAAAAAAAAGAAAGAAAGAAAAAAAAGAAAAAGAAAATCTGACATAGTCACTGCAAAGGAGGAGAAACAGCAGACTAGAGAAATGTGCCAATAATCCTACCCCAGTTGGTGCTGAGGATCCAGGACCTCAAACTTACAGTGGCATCAGTGTGTCTGGTGTCTTACTCTCCTCCAGTAATATTAGCTAGCCACTCAAGCACAGGCAGAAAAAGATAAAGAATGAGTTCATTCAAGGTGAAGTTTTGCTGAATAGGTAGAATAAAGTCAACAGGCAAGCAGGTTATCTGTAAAAAAGTAATTAAACTAAGAGATCACGTCATCTAAGCTAAATAGGAGGAGAAGACAAAAAAGGGTTGTGCTGACTAGAAGGAAGCAGAAGAGCCAATGGACCAGAGGCGCCCATGTGGTCAAGGAAAAGCGGAAGTGGGAGTAACTGAGACAGATCACTACAGAGACAGGAGAAAGGTCATGGTCAGGTGAGATATTTCAAACTGAAATTTACAAGTGCAACAGTTCTGGATACAGCAAGGTCCAGGTGTCAAGAAGGGGGGGAATAAAGAGCTGAGAAGGTATTCGACCATGAGAAAGTCAAGGAATCCACTTACCTGTCTGCCTTCATTAGTTAATGAGCTGCTGAATAGCAAGTAAAACTATCAATTCCACACGCCCAATACATGCTACATGGCCAATAAACATTGGATGAACAAATGAATGAATTGACAGAACAATCTGAATTTTGAAATTTTCCTTAGCATAGAAAATATGCATTAAGCATACTGATGAACTAACTTAAAAATATTTCAAATTATTTCTTGTGGAAATAATCTTATTCCACGAGTTTTTAGGATTCTGTGTCAAAAGAAATTGTTCAACATGTTTTAATCATAAATATGTAATAATTCACTCCCATTTCATTATGATAGAAAAAGACTAAGCCTCTTACTTTCAAAATGAACTATTCCATCAATCTGGTCAATAAATCCATTCATCCGTCCTTCTGTTATCATTTGAGATGCTATCTTTTCTGCCTATAAAAAAAGCAACAAAATCTTAGAAACTTTAAATACTGTATCTAACAATTACTCACATTTGGTAAGAAAATTTGGTTTAACTTACAAATGTGTTCCTCTGCCATTCACTAGAAGACTATATCGTATAAATCTGCCTATTTTCTCAAATCTTTCTAGGAACAACCCCATTATTTGCAGGAAACTGGGACCTGTTAATTTTATTGTGAGACTGCAGACAAAAATTAGCCTTTCTACTAATTTTCTGCTCTGTTTAGAATGAAACTTACAACTTTTCTTCTCATTGGTATCCATGCTTCAAAAAAAGCACAAAAAAACCTAACTAGTTTTTCTTATTATACTTCATTTCATTCTCCACATTATTTAATACCTCAAAAAACTCTTTTAAGTAATATTTTTAAAGACAACCTGAAAGGAAGAATCGATGGTCAAATTCAAAAAGAAATTAAAAAGATTTAAAGACAAAGTAACAAAAGATCCTCTAATAGTTCCTGAAGACATGTTAATGTTTACCATGTGCAACCAGGAGTGTGACTTGGTCGTTTATTAATTCTAACCATCTTCACAGTCAATTTTAAATTACTTTTGAAGAAACTGTGACTAGCACTTATTTTAAAAGTATATTCATATCCCTTAATTTCTGCATGGAATCATACCTCAAAGCCTAAAAAGAAAGCATTTTTTAATTGTAACTTAGGCTATAGTTCCCACATAAAGGAACTGTTAGAAAATCTTAAATGAAAATTTCATTACCAGAAAAATGTGGAATATGACTCATAACTACATTGAATTTAAGGTCTGTAAATTAGGGAAAAGTAAGGCTAAGTGTTTACTTTTAATATAACTTAAAATTAAGAGAACGTTTTATAAATGTTATATGAAACATCCTCTAAATACTATTTATACTTTGCTGGAATTGAGATATAGCCAACCACGCCCTCAAATGAATTAAATTAAATTCACTAGTAAGTCAATCAACTTTTTATGTTAACCCAAGCACAGAAGTTATGATAGCATTAACCGGGGTATTACCATACTCATTCTCTTAAAGAGATGAAAATTTAACCTTCAAATTAGTCTAGGCTAGAAAAAAGTAAAGCATCAAAATCTTAAGTTAGTCAAGAATCAAAAACCACTATGAAGTGGATCTAAACAGACACCAAACAAAGACATTCTCACAAAATGAGTGTCTTAACCTGGAACTCCTTTAAGAGTCCCACTCTACAGCACTTTACCATAAAACACAACTTAAAAAAACAAAGACACTAAAAAAAACAACTCCACTATGGTACTATTTTAGCCTTGAAATAATTTATTTCCATTTACTTGGAGCTTTTTATAATTTTGTTATAGTTGTCAACATTTAATAATTATATAATATTTAATTTTCTCATTACCTGGTTTTGTCTCTTAACTTTGTTTTTATGTATTAGAGTCAAGAAAAAAACCTTAGCATCTACTCACAGAGCTAAGAGGTAAAATATTTTTAAATAAAGAAACTTTTTTGTTTAAAAAACAAAATACCTTAGCTGCTGGGATCTCCAAAAGAGCTCCAAGTTCTTCAAAGGTAATATTATTATATAACTTGCTTGCAGACAGCAAATTGTGCTCAATAACAGCTCTGTCCAAGATGCTGGAACCTTAAATAAGTACAAATAAGACAGTTTTAAGTTTGAAACTAGTTTTATGTTAAAAAAGATACACCTTTTTCACTGAAAATTTCGAGATACGTCATCTCACAATCATGTTTATTCCTGTGATCAAAATCTTAAAAGTAGGCCTGGTATTGTGGTATAGTGGGTTAAGCCACTGCCTGCGATGCCAGCATCCTATATGGGTGCTAGTTCAAGTCCTGGCTGCTCTACTTTTGCTCTAGCTGCTGCTAATGTGCCTGTGAAAGCAGCAGAAGATGGTCCCAGTACTTGAGCCTCTGCTCCCACAGGGGAAGACCCAGATGGAGCTCCTGGTTCCTGGCTTTGGCCTGGCTCAGTCCAGGAAGCTGCAGCCATTTGGGGAGGAAACCAGAGGAGAGAAGATCTCTGTCTCTCCCATCCTGTCTGTAACTCTGTCTTTCAAAAGAAAAGTAGGTTGGAGGGCGGGTATGAGGGGAAGAACCATTATATTCCTAAAGCTGTATCTGTGAAATTTGTATTGATTAAATAAAAGCTTTCTAAAATAAAATAAGTAATCAAAATGGTTTATATGATATTGTCTGATTAATAGTTAACTTAAAAAATAGCACATTTAGAAAATGAGTGATTAGCAAGTAACTCTCCAGACTTGGGGTTTGCTTCTTTGGGCTATCAAATTCATTACCTTTCCTTTTCTCGCTACAAGTAATTTATCCTGTCAGCTTGATAAAGTCCCTGATGGCTATTATTTTGGGCACTCCACAAGCACCTTACTGTAATGCAAATGCGAGAAATGTCCAGAAGGTGGGAGCAGCCAACCTTCCTGAGCTATCAGGCACAGGACTCCCCTTCAGGTGACGGCATTAGGCGGTGGGCTCACTCAGCTTACAGGGTTTTCTGCTGCGCACTCACCATTACTATAGTCCCGATGCCAGCATAGGTGCTGGGGACAATACAGCTCAGGACTTCAAGAGACGTATTCCGAGAACCCGTGTTTCTTACAGTGCCCTGTGGTTACTTTTCCAGAGTGCCGCTCATAATCTAGCGTTTTTCTTAACTCCCACCTCCCAGTTTCCTTTGCTGGTTCCTTCTTATTTTCCTTACCTCAAAAATTAGAGTGCTCCATTTTATACTTCTGTTTATTCTTTCTTCCTACATTATCTCAAAATTACCAATATGCTGATGATGATCAAATAGGGTCTTTAAGAAGCTCACAGAAAATGTGTATTGTGAAGAAACTATGCATGGATTTCAAAACATTTTGCACCAAATTAACATATCTTTTAATTCCATTTTCTACAAACTTTTTAAAAGCGCCCTCATATTTCTAAGCCAAATCTCTCTTGAGCTCAGACTCATACCCAACTATCTAAATAACACCTCTACTTGGACATTTTATAAACATATCAAAATTTTTTTTTTAGATTTTTTTTAAATTTATTTGAGAGGTAGAGTTACAGACAGTGAGAGGGAGAAACAGAGAGAAAGGTTTTCCTTCTGTTGGTTCACTCCCCAAATAGCTGCAATGGCCAGAGCTGCACAAATCCAAAGCCATGAGCAAGGTGTTTCTTCCCAGTCTCCCATGTGGGTGCAGGGAACAAGCACTTAGGCCATCTTCTACTGCCTTCCCGGGCCACAGCAGAGAGCTGGACTGGAAGAGGAGCAGCCGGGACTAGAACTGGTGCCCATTTGGGATGCCGGCGGAGGATTAACCTACTGCGTCATGGCACCTGCCCCATAAACATCAAATTTAACATGTTCAAAAAAGGACTTCCCGGCCGGTGTTATGGCTTAATAGGCTAATCCTCTGCCTGCGGCACCGGCACACTGGGTTCTAGTCCCAGTCAAGGCACCGGATTCTGTCCTGGTCGCTCTTCTTCCTGTCCAGCTCTCTGCTGTGGCCTGGGAGTGCAGTGGAGGATGGCCCAAGTCCTTGGACCCTGCACCCTATGGGAGACCAGGAGAATCACCTGGCTCCTGGCTTCGGATCAGCGCAGTGCGCCAGCCACAGCGGCCATTGAGGGGTGAACCAACAGAAAAAGAAGACCTTTCTCTCTGTCTCTCTCTCTCACTGTCCACTCTGCCTGTCAAAAAAAAAAAAAAGGACTTCCCCCTTCAAGTCTATTCTTCTCTCAGTCTACCCCATCTCAATAAACAGTACTGCAGGCTGACAGAAGTGGGGAATAAGGGGATTTTGTTTCATGTGCATAGTTTCAGCCTGAGAATATAAGAGTTTTGGAGAGGAACAGTGGTGAGGAAGGAAGGCACCACTGAACTGCATGCCTAAGAACGGTTACACTGGTATTGTTTATATTACACATTGCTGTGGTTTGGGTATGCCCTTGGATGTTGGTAACTTAATGCCCAAAGTCCTGCATTAGTGGTATTTGAAAGGCGGGACCTTTGGGGAATTACTGGATTATGACAGCTCTTTGTGGGCACAGATTCAAGAGTTATCAAGGGAGTGGATCATTTTGTGAGGCAACAAGAAGGCCTTCACCTGGTGCTGAGCAGACGCTAGCACCATAGATTTGGACTTCCCATATGGCAGAACTGTGAGGTCAATAAATCTCGACTCTTTATAAATTACGCTGTGGTAAGATGTAACCGAAAATAGACATACTTCTTTTTTTTAACCACAAAGAAAAGGAATACAGAGGCCAGCATAATGGGAAGTAGCAGTGATGGCTCAAGTTATCAGGTTCCTGCTACCCCATTTGGAAGACCTGGATTGAGCTTCTGGTTCCTGGCTCTGATCCCAGCCAGGACCTGTTGTAGGCCTTTGGGAAGTGAACCACTGGAAGGGAGCTTTTTCTATTTGTCTGTTTCTCTATCTTCCAAAAAAAAAAAAAAAAAGGAGGGGAGGGGTGATATTTGGTACAGTGGCTAAGTCTCTACTTGGGACACCTGTATTCTGTTTCAGAGTGCCTGGTTCAAGTCCCAGCTCCTCCTCTTCTGATCCTCTTCTAATCCAGCTCCCTGCTAATGCACCCAGGAAAGCAGTGGAAGATGGTCCAAGTCTTTGGGCCCCTGCACCCACATGGGAGACCTGGAAGAAGTCCCAGGCTCCTGGCTTCGGATTGGCCCAACTCCAGCCCTATGCAGTATTTTAATAATATACATCTTGGGGCCAATGCTGTGGGGTAGCAGGTAAAGTCACTGCCTGCAGTGCCAGCACCCCATGGATGCTGGTTCAAGACCCGGCTGCTCCACTTCCAATCCAGCTCTTCTATGGCCTGGGAAAGCAGTAGAAGATGGCCCTAGTCCTTGGGCCCCTGCACCCATGTGGGAGACCTGAAGGAAGCTCCTGGCTCCTGGCTTTGGATGGGCACAGCTCTGGCTGCTGCGGCCACCTGGGAAGTGAATCAGCGGATGGAACATCTCTCGCTCTCGCTCTCTCTCGCTCACTTCAGTGTGGGACATGGTCAATACCTGGACTGCTCATTAAAGTAAAATTAAATGAAATTAAACAAAAGAGAGTAAAATTGGATGAAGTGTACATCTTTTAGCTAACCTCCACCTAAATGTCTCTTTACAGCTAATTTCTCTTGCATATAGGATAATCCCAAGGCAGTGAGTCTAACAGATCTGCTTATTTATCTTGGTTGCTCCCATGTTTCTGAATGTCTACTATTGTTGTCAAAACCTACTTTATAACCTCTGTAGACAGGCACACATAAAATCATTAATGTTATAAACAAGCAACTATTGAAAATAGTTCTTTCATAGGAAACGCAGTCTGACCTAAGAAAATTCATCCTTTCACCAGGAAATATGACATCAAGTTCTTTTCTTATTGGCAACACTTTACCCTGAGTAACCCTGGACAAACTATTATGCCAAATTGTGTTCTATCTAAAATAGAACTGAATAACTATATTGTTATAATTTGATGATTAAGATTAAGTAACTTATAGATGGTTTGAGTTTACAAAAAAAAAAAACACCATTAGCACAGTATATAATTTTTCAGCTTAGTCTCCAAAAAATGTATTACTTCTTTTTTTTTAAGATTTATTTGTTTATTTGAAAAAGTTATAAGACCGGCGCTGTGGCTCAATAGGCTAATCCTCCGCCTTGAGGCGCTGGCACACCGGGTTCTAGTCCGGGTCGGGGCACTGGATTCTGTCCCGATTGCCCCTCTTCCAGGCCAGCTCTCTGCTGTGGCCCGGGAGTGCAGTGGAGGATGGTCCAGTGCTTGGGCCCTGCACCCTATGGGAGACCAGGAGAAAGCACCTGGCTCCTGCCTTCGGATCAGTGCAGTGCGCCAGCCGCAGCGTGCCGGCCATGGCGGCCATTGGAGGGTGAACCAATGGCAAAGGAAGACCTTTCTCTCTCTCTCTCACTGTCCATTCTGCCTGTCAAAAATAAATAAATCAATAAAAAATAAATTAAAAAAAAAAAGTTACAGAGAGAGAGAGAGACAGAGAGAAAGCAATTTTTCTTTCTTTTTTTTTTTCTTTTTTGAAAGGCAGAATGGACAGTGAGAGAGAGACAGAGAGAAAGGTCTTCCTTTGCCGTTGGTTCACCCTCCAATGGCCGCCACGGCCGGCGCGCTGAGGCCGGCGCACCGCGCTGATCCGAAACCAGGAGCCAGGTGCCTCTCCTGGTCTCCCATGGGGTGCAGGGCCCAAGCACTTGGGCCATCCTCCACTGCACTCCCTGGCCACAGCAGAGAGCTGGCCTGGAAGAGGGGCAACCGGGACAGAATCTTGCGCCCCGACTGGGACTAGAACCCGGTGTGCCGGCGCCATAAGGCGGAGGATTAACCTAGTGAGCCACGGTGCCGGCCAGGAATTTTTCATCCACTGATTTACTCTTTAAATGGCCGCAATGGCTGGGGCTGGGCCAGGCCAAAGCCAGGAGCCAGGAGCTTCTTCCTAGTCTCCCATGCAGGAGCAGGGACCCAAACACATAGGCCATCCTCCGCTGCTTTCCTAGGTACATTAGCCAGGAGACAGATCAGAAGTGGAGTGGCAGGGACTTGAATTGGTGCCCATATGGGATGCTGGCATTACAGGCAGTGGCTTAAAACCCGCTACACCACACCACCAGCCCAAAAATATATAAGGTCACAAATGTTTTTCAATAGGACTATTTTTACACTGCAAGCCTAAGTATGTGTATGTCTCTTACCTTCAGTCACAAAGTGTTAAACAGAAATAAAGACAGCAGTACACTTCTAATTTAACATACTTTCCAATAGCCTGTACCTAAACATTTATCACAACATGCGAATAAGACACAAGTATTACCATCCGCTGTAGTTGCTTTTTGGTGAGGCATCAGCATGGCAGCAAATTCTTGAAGCTGATTTCCTCTGATGATCCTATCTAGGTACATTTTCTCTAGGATTCCATAAGCAGCAAGTTGCTGGCACCTTTCATCCTTAAAAAGAGTAGCGAGCATTCGAGAACGCTGCTGTCCTAGGGGAAACAGATGAGCATCAAACATTTTCAGTGTTCCTCCAGTGAAAAACAATCAATCTGATGAACCCATTTCCACCTTAAAATATGCAGTCACTACTTATTATTCATGGTAATCACGTCCCAGAAAGTCACCGCTAACATCAAATTAGCAAATGCTGAACTTCTGCCCCTCTGGGAAATACAGGATTAGGTTCCTGTGAACCTCTCTGGTCACAACATTTTTGTCAACCAACCTGTAACCTTGACTTACGTGTTTTTTTGTTCAAAGACACCTTACTTAACATATACTGTTGATTCATTAATATTGACTTCAAGGCCTAATTATAACATGTACCTAAATGACACTTACCTAACACATGTATTATCTCCACATCAGACTTCCTGCACTTAGGAACAGCAAACAGCTCTTTAGCACTATGATGGGGCCATTTTAGACAGTGAAATTACCAATAAAAATCTAAAAATGTGGAGAACGAGATATTAAATAGATCACAAGAAGGAAACCTGTTTACAGTATGAAAGCTGAAACAAAAAGGCAGAGTACTGACAGGTTTAACCTCAGCTGGAAACATACACATCAAGTAATTCAGATTTGTTGCCCCTCTGCACATGTCTGCAAATGGCTGTGAAAGCACTGCAACTATTGCCTTTGGGGTTACTAGTGAGTTTTCAGGTATGTAAATATACAAACATGGAATCTGCAGACAATGAGTCAGCTGCAAATTCATATGGAAGGCCAGGACACACTCCAAAATGTTACAAGTGATTCGAAAAATGTATGATTTCAATTTTCTTCTTAGCTGTATTCCTGCAATGACTATGCATTATTTTTCGATATAAAAATTTAATTTTTTTGGCCTGTGCCGTGGCTCACTTGGTTAATCCTCCGCCTTGTGGCACCGGCATCCCATATGGGCGCCGGGTTCTGGTCCTGGTTGCTCCTCTTCCAGTCCAGCTCTCTGCTGTGGCCCGGAAGTGCATTGGAGGATGGCCCAAGTGCTTGGGCCCCTCACCCACGTGGGAGACCAGGAGGAAGCACCTAGCTCCTGGCTTTGGATTGGCACAGCATCAGATGTAGCGGCCATTTGGGGAGTGAACCAACAGAAGGAAGACCTTTCTCTGTCTATCTCACTGTCTATAACTCTACCTGTCAAATAAATTTTTAAAAAATTTAATTTTTTTAAAGATTTATTTATTTGAAGGCAGAGTTGCAGAGCGAGTGAGAGAGAGAGACAAAGAAAGATATTCCACCTACTGATAACCCCCCCAAATGGCTGCAACAGCCAGAGCTAGGACAATCTGAAGCCAGAACCCAGGAGCTTCTTCTGGGTCTTCCACATGGGTACGGGGACCCAAGCATTTGGGCCATTTTCTGCTGCCTTCCCAGGCACATTAGTAGGGAGCTGGACTGGAAGAGGAGCAAGTGGGACTCAAGCCAGCATCCACATGGGATACCCGCACTGCGGGTGGTGGCTGAACCTGCTTAGCCATAGTGCAGGCCCCATAAAAAATTCATTAAAGGTAAGTATTTCTCTCATAAGAACTTAAGTAGTCAGTTTTAATTTATACTTTCAAGGGTCTTTACAAGACAATGGATGGCATAAAACATCTGAACTAATAGGAATACTATCAACAAACTTTTCCTTTTTAAATATATTTTTAGCTCTATGTGTTGAAAGAATCTAACTGTAATGACACCCTGTATTTACAAGCATATCTAGCATCTCTTCTTAATATCCCGTTAAAATGAATTTAGGGAATCCTTGAAAAATAGGTGACCTTAAGCATGGGGCAGGGAAAATATAAGATGAGCCTTAGGCATCTTCTCAAGCTAGAATGCAGGCAGGCTTTCAATGACTGATGGGGGGGCGGGGAGAGGCATGTCAAAAACTATGAGTTCATCATATCTGTGAAAATTTGAGCATTAAAAAAAAGAATAACAATTATAATTTATTCTATCATATTGAATAAATAACTCTAGAAGAATGTTCTATTACAGAACTATTACCCAAATGCAGTAGGGTAAATATATTGTAGTTTATTATATAATTAACATCATATAACAAAGAAAATATAAGCACATGTAACAATATGAATGAATTCATAAAGTTGAACAAAAAAAAAATCAAGGGGCAGCATTGTGGTGTAGCAGGTAAAGCCACTGTCTGTAGTTCTGGCATCCAATACAGGCACGGTACAAGTCCCAGAGGTTCCATTTTCAATACAGTCCTCTCTAATGGCCTAGGAAAAGCAACGGAAGATGGCCCAAGTACTTGGGCCCCTGCCACCCACATGGGAGACCTAGAAGAAGCTCCTAGCTTCAGCCTGGCCAAGCCCTGGCCGATGTAGCCATCTGGAGAGTGAACAAGCAGATCGAAGGTTCTCTCTCTCTCTGTCTCTCTGATTCTCCCTTTCTCTAACTCTTTCAAATAAATAAATAAACTTTTTTTTTTAAATCAATAATACATGATATGATTTCATTTATACAAAAACAAGAAGCAGGCCAAACTAATATATTAGTGATTGCTCTCGAGAAGGGCTGGAAGGAGAGTTAGACTAGTGACTAACAGAAAGCATGAAGGCAGCTTTTGGGATGTCAGTAATATTTTGTTTCCTGTTCTGGATGCTTGTTACATGGAAAAGACTCATCAAGCTATACACTTTTAGTATATCACAGAAAAATAAGCAGAAAAAGAGTACACAGTGATATAACAAAAAAAGGGGGAAGGGAAATAAGAAGAGAAGCTCACGCAGAAGAACGGACTTAGTAAATCACCATTTTGCAACATTCAATATAATGAAGGATCCAGACAAGTTATGTGAAAGGAGTGGTAAATAAGATTTCTGAAGAGCGTCTAAGCAGCACCCCTAAATTATTTACTAAATGCAAAAAGGAAAATGTACCTTTTCCATGGTGTCTCCACCTTAACCAGATGACCGAACAGAATCTCTACTGTGATACACCTCTGATGTGATGTAATTCAAAGTTCATGGCACTGTGATGCATAGAAAATTTTTATCCTGGAGCCCTTGTAACACAGTGGGTTAGGCTGCCACCTGCAACATCCCATATGGGTTGCCAGTTCAAGTCCCGGCTGCTCCACTTCCTATCCAGCTCCCTGCTAATGGCCTGGGAAAAGCATGAGAAGATGGCCCAAGTACTTGGGTCCCTGCACCCATGTGGAGACCCACATGAAGCTCCTAGCTTTGGCTCTGGCCTTGAGCAGCCTTGGCTATTGCAGCTATCTGGGGATTAAAACAGACTGAAAGCTCTTGCACGCTCTCTCCCCCTCCCTTCTCTCTCTGTAACCCTTTCAAATACATCAATCTTTTCTTTTTCTTTCTTTTTTTTTTTTTTAAGATTTACTTATTTATTTGAAAGAGTTACACAGAGAGAGGAGAGGCAGAGAGAGAGAGAGAAAGGTCTTTTTTTTTTGACAGGCAGAGTGGACAGTGTGAGAGACAGAAAGAAAGGTCTTCTTTGCTGTTGGTTCACCCTCCAATGGTCGCCACGGCCGGCGCGCTGCGGCCAGCGCACCACCTTGATCCGATGGCAGGAGCCAGGTACTTATCCTGGTCTCCCATGGGGTGCAGGGCCCAAGTACTTGGGCCATCCTCCACTGCACTCCCTGGCCACAGGGACAGAATCTGGCGCCCCGACTGGGACTAGAATCTGGGGTGCCAGCGCTGCAAGGCGGAGGATTAGCCTAGTGAGCTGCGGCGCCGGCCATCAATCTTTTCTTAAAAAAAAAAACAAGGAAAAATTTTATCCTGAGTCTGACCTAACCTTTGGCTAACCACCAGTTCATAAGAAATACATGACCAAAGAATAAGTAAACAACATATATTAGACCAATCTATGATGAAAGGCATTCTATACAACTTCCTTGAATTATTTATTTTTTAAAAAAAGGCAGTATTATTTTTAAAGTCATGAAACTTTTCTAAAATAAGAGTCTAAAGAAGCTGGCGCCACAGCTCACTAGGCTAATCCTCTGCCTTGCGGCGCCGGCACACCGGGTTCTAGTCCTGGTCGGGGCGCAAGATTCTGTCCCGGTTGCCCCTCTTCCAGGCCAGCTCTCTGCTGTGGCCAGGGAGTGCAGTGGAGGATGGCCCAGGTCCTTGGGCCCTGCACCCCATGGGAGACCAGGATAAATACCTGGCTCCTGCCTTCGGATCAGCGCGGTGCACCAGCCGCAGTGCGCTGGCCTCGGCGGCCATTGGACGGTGAACCAACGGCAAAGGCAGACCTTTCTCTCTGTCTCTCTCTCACTGTCCACTCTGCCTGTCAAAAAAAAAAAAAAAAAAAGAGTCTAAAGAGACATGCCATGCACAAACTTGTTCACCTTGTTCGGGGGCAACTATAAAAGATATTCCTAGGGCCAGCATTGTAGCACATAGGATAAGCCACTACCTGCGATGCCAGCATCCCATATAGGCACCAGTTTGAGTCCTGGCTGTTCCACTTCCCATTCGGTTCCCTGATAATGTGCCTGGAAAAGCAGCAGATGATGGCTTGGGCTTCTGCCACCCACATGGGAGATCTGGAAAAAGCTCCTGGCTTCAGCTTGGCTAATCCACCATCGGCAATGCTGGCATCTCATATGAGTGACAGTTCAAGTCCTGGTTGCTCCACTTCTGATTCAGCTCCCTGCAAATGGCCTGGGAACGCAGTGGAAGATGGCCCAAGTGTTTCAGCCTGGCCCAGCTTCAGCCATTGTGGCCATCTGGGGAGTGAACCAGTGAATAAAAGACCTCTCTCTCATTCTCTCTCCCTCTGCCTTTCAAATAAATAAATAAAATCTCCTTAAAAATAAATAAATAAAAGATATTTCTAAGGCAACTGGGGCTCTAAGAATTTAGAACAGATAGCAGATTATACAGAAGGATCACAGCTAACTTTCTTAGCGATGATCAGGCATTGAAATTATGTAAAAATTATGATATACAACCAGGTGTCACTTAAGGATGGTTATACATTCTCAGAAATGCCCCCATTAGGCAATTTTGTACCTATAGAATCGAAGACAGCTCTGATGTCAATAAGTAATTTAATCTTATGGGACCACCACTCTACCTGCAGACTGAAACATTGTTAAGTGGTACATGACTATGTAAGGAAGGAATGTCGGGCCGGCGCCGCGGCTCACTAGGCTAATCCTCTGCCTAGCGGCGCCGGCACACCGGGTTCTAGTCCCGGTTGGGGCGCCGGATTCTGTCCCGGTTGCCCCTCTTCCAGGCCAGCTCTCTGCTGTGGCCAGGGAGTGCAGTGGAGGGTGGCCCAGGTGCTTGGGCCCTGCACCCCATGGGAGACCAGGAAAAGCACCTGGCTCCTGGCTCCTGCCATCGGATCAGCGCGGTGCGCCGGCCGCAGCGCGCCGGCCGCGGCGGCCATTGGAGGGTGAACCAACGGCAAAGGAAGACCTTTCTCTCTGTCTCTCTCTCTCACTGTCCACTCTGCCTGTCAAAAAATAAAAAAAATAAAAAAATAAAAAAGGAAGGAATGTCATAATGGCCTACAATCTACTTTAAAATGACACATCAAAAAATGAGACAAATACAGAAAGAAAATCAAATATGACAAAATACCAGGAAAATTATAAAGAATAATAAAAAAAGAGTAATGAAGGGGAAGTAAGCTTGCTACATGTTAATAAATATTATAAAGTTATAATGAATTAAGGAGCTTAGTACTAGCATATTTATAAAAAGATAAGTTAGTTAATGGAACAGAATACTGAATAAAGAAATCTATACTATGTTTTAAATTAATAGGAAAAAACAATGAATTAGTCTATAAAGGATACTGGGTCAAATGACAAGCAATTTAGGGAAAAAAAAGTTAAATCCTTATTCCATTCCATATACTAAATAAATCCAAATGGATTAAGATTTACAGGTAAGGGGCCAGCACTGTGGCACAGCAGGTAAAGCCGCTGATTGTGATGCCAGCATCCTATATGGGTGCCAGTCTGTGTCCCGGCTGCTCCACTTCCAATCCAGTTCTCTGCTAATAGCGTCGGAAAAGCAGCAAAAGATGGCCCAAGTATTTGTGCCCCTGCCACCCATGTGGGAGACGCAGATGAAGCTCCTGGCTCCTGGCTCCTGGCTTTAGCCTGACCCAGTGCTGGCAGTTGCAAGCATCTGGGGAGTGAACCAGTGGATAAAAGATCTCTCTTCTCTGTCTCTCCCTTTCTGTCTGTAACTCTAACTTTCAAAAAAATAAATAAATCTTTAAAAAACAAACAGGGGCCAGCGCTGTGGCACAGTGGGTTAAAGCCCTAGCCTGAAGCACCAGCATCCCATATTGGTGCCAGTTCTAGTCTTGGGTGCTCCTCTTCCTATCCAGCTCTCTGCTATGGCCTGGGAAAGCAGTAGAAGATGGCCCAAGTGCTTGGGCCCCTGCACCCACATGGGAGACCCAGTAGAAGCTCCTGGCTCCTGGCTTCGGATCGGCGCAGCCCCAGCTGTTGCGGCCATCTGGGGAGTGAACCAGCGGGTAGAAGACCTCTCCCTCTGTTTCTACCTCTCTCTGTAATTCTGTCTTTCAAATAAATAAAATAAATCTTTAAAAAAAAATTTGTAGTTAAATTTAAGCAAGCAGTAGGCAAAACTAATCTAAACCATTTTCCTGCCGAAGTGGGGATTAGAGGTAGCAACTAAGAGGAGGCACGAGGATGAAAAATGAAACTCTAAAGCAACAATTTTGAAGGAGATTCCCAAGATCTTTGTGAGGGATCAGAGCAGTCAACAGTACTTTATATTAACATCCTTCGATGGATAGTTCCTTGCTAGATTTCTAATATCAACCAACATGAAGATATTAAGACAAAGGTAACTGTTCATTTAAGCATAAATTAGGTGTTTACCTGCTGATGCTAGGATGGTACAGTGCAAAGCATGTTTTAAGGCCTCTAGTCTCTCACTTTCATGGACTATTGTCTTGTAAGAGAGCTCATTGTACCGTTGTGCAGCTTCAATGAATTTTCTTCTATAATCAAGAACTCGTGCGTAGCATACCTAAAGGGGGAAAATGCTTTAATTAGGGAAAAAAATAAAAAGCAAAAGCAAAAATAAGCAACAGAGAATTTCTAAAATACTTATATGACAGCATTTATCAGATGTTCTGCAGCATCTTAGAAAGGTATGATTCTCCAAAAACAATTAATTCCAAATCAGCTCCTCGGTTACCTTATAATGTATCTGTAACTGCTCATTGGTGGATTCATTCTGAAGCAATGATGCTCGATTTATGTAAGCCTCTGCCTGGACTGGATCATCATCCTCCAGATACAGTCTAGCAATCTTGAGGTAAGTCTCCAGTTTATAATCTACATTGTACTGTCTAGAATATAATAGAAAAACACAGAATGACTCGATATGACTCAATATTTTTATCAAGAAAATGTTTAGAAATCATAGGAAATACATTATGTTTTCCTTATATATATTTTGTTAACATAAGGAAACCAAATGTTTACTGCATGCTATTATAAAGAAACAAAATAAGTTTCACTGAATTTTTATCATTTTATCATCATTAATCACATCACAACCTAACCACTTCTAAACCTCATACAGTATCACAAACCAAAAATCTTAAAAGAGCAACTCCCAGTTCAGGGGCATATCACATTCTACTACTGGGACTGTATAAGGGCATAGCCTTCCCAGAGAACAACTTGGCAATATGCTCTCTAAACCTCCTTTGAATTATTTAAAATAAATACCTTTAAATCACTATACTTTACCTTTAGAAAATTAAGATAATCAAGGATCTACCCACATGTGTGTAGTATATACAAGAATGTTCGCATTTGAGGTTATTTATAAATATTCATAATAGGAAAAAAATGAAATCACCTAGGATGGTATTTGGTATTCAAGATGTAGTGGCACAGTATACAATTATAATTATTATGATGTGCTAACAGTCATTGTGTATTTTTGTTAAGCAGAAAAACTGGATACAATAGTATGCACAACATTATTAAAATAAATTCCTATACACAAATCAAAATATTAATTGCAGTTATCTACAGGTAATAAAATTAGAAGTGTTTTTTATTTTCATTTTCTTCTTTGTCATAGTGGTCAAATTTTATACAAAGAATGCATAATGAAGGCCTCATCTAATTCAAAAATTCCATCATTAAAAAATTAATCCTTAGAGAAAAATAAATCCTTTAAGCTGCCACTTAAAATGCCCACATCCCATATTGGAGTGCTGGTTCCAATCCAGCTTCCTGCTAATGTGCCTCAGAAGGCAGTGGAAGATGGTCCAAATACTTGGGCCCTTGCCATCTATGTGGGAGACCAGATGGAGTTCTGGACTACTGGTTTCAGCCTAGTTACTGTGGCCTGTGGGGAGCGAATCAGCAGATGGGAGATTTTCTCTCTCTCTCTCTCTCTCTCTCTCTCCTTCTCTCTTAAAAAAAGACCAAAGCAATTTAAAAAGTCCAGTCTTTTCAAACTACCACCAAAAAAATGAATTATCAAGGGCCCTGGAATGCAAAACTCAACATCTACATATGAAGTTTTTTTTAATAAATTGGTTGCTGGGGCTGGTGCGGTGGCATAGCAGGTAAAGCCTCCGCCTGCAGTGTCAGCATCCCATATGGGCGCTGGTTTGAGACCCAGCTGCTCCTCTTCCGATCCAGCTTTTTGCTATGGCCTGGGAAAGCAGAAGATGGCCCAAGTCCTTGGGCCCCTGCACCCACGTGGGAGACCCGGAGGAGGCTCCTGGCTTCAGATCAGCTCAGCTCTGGCCATTGCGGCCATCCGGGGGAGTGAACCAGCGGATGGAAGACCTCTGTCTTTCCTTTCTCTGTGTAATTCTTTCAAATAAATAAATAAATCTTAAGGAGTATCACCATCTCACAATTTCATAAATAATGCACAAATGGTAAGCTGTCTCAAGAAGTGTCTGCCTCATCATCATAAACAATGAAGACAAAAAAGAATCCCTCCTTCAACTGGTGAAAGAGCTGTGATGCAATCAAAATATTTTAAGTCATTCATAGTTGGTATTTTTTCTTAAAAGCTTTTTTAGAAAAACATTTATTGCTTTATTTACTTGAAAAGCAGAGTGACAGTGAGATAGAGCGAGAGGAAAAGGAATGGTGGGCGAAGAGGTCGTCCATCCACTGGCTCACTCCTCAAAGGCCCACAACAGCCAGGGCTGGGCCAGGCCAAAACCAGGAGCCAGGAACTCTACCATGTCTTCCCAAAAGGGTAGCAAGAACCCAAGTACTTGGGCCTTTACCTGCTGCCACCCAGGTGTATTGTTGGAAGCTAGATGAGAAGCAGAGGCAGTACTCAATCCCAGGCGTTACGTTATGGGATCCAAGTATCCCAAGCTTAAAACTGTGGCACCACAGTTGGTATTTTTAAACTTGCCAATGTAAAGAGCAAGTGTGTTTAATACTGTAACAGAGTCTCACATCATTTATCCTTCTTGTACAATATACTTAGGAGGAAGGACTCATAAGAACCACACTGTTTTTAAGAAATACATATCAAAGCAAAAACAAACAAACAAACAAACAGAAAAACAACACATATCAAAAGGTAAAGACTGGATGAATAAGGGCTGGCATTGTGGTAAAGCAGCTGCCTGCAACCCCATATCACATATAGAGGTCAGTTCAAGGTCCAGCTACTCCATTTCCAATCCAGCTCCCTGATAATGGCCTGGGAAAAGCAGTGGAAGATGGCCCAAGGGCTTGGGCCCCTGACACCCATATAAAAGACCCAGGTAAAGCTCCTGGCTCTTGGCTTTAGCCTAGCCCACCCCTGGCCATTGCAATCATCTGGGAAGTGAGTGAACCAGAAGATCAAAGTGCCCACTCCCTGTTTCTCCTTCCATAATTCTTTCAAAATAAATAAACAGCATTATAAATTATCACCTTAATTTTTTCACTTTTCTTTCCATCTCACTTTCTCCAGTATCTCAAATCCAATGCTCTTTTGAATCCACTGTGACCTAACCACCTATACCATTACATGTCACTGTCTTTTCTGCCTTAAAGGCCCCACTTCCCTCCTTACCCTGACAACTATGGTCAATTTGTATAATCACTGAAATAACAGATACACTCATCTCCCTTGTCCCTCTCTTGCTGTCATACTAAGGCAAAATCTTAAGTTTGGCTAAATCTAACTAGTTGCCTACTTCTTTTCTGCAACCATGTAGCTGAACTCTGATGGAGGAAAAATACCCATCCAATTTGACTGATTTCATTTTCATCACTACAGCTTTCTTTTCTTTCTTTCTTTCTTTTTTTTTTCTGACAGGCAGAGTTAGACAGTGAGAGAGCCAGGTACTTCTCCTGGTCTCCCACGGGGTGCAGGGCCCAAGCACCTGGGCCATCCTCCACTGCACTCCCTGGCCACAGCAGAGAGCTGGCCTGGAAGAGGGGCAACCAGGACAGAATCCAGCACCCCGACCGGGACTAGAACCTGGGGTGCCGGCGCTGCAAGGCGGAGGATTAGCCTAGTGAGCCACGGCGCCGGCCCCATCACTACAGCTTTCAAATGAGCCCTGAATGCTCCAAGCGTACTATACACACGGAGTCTATTTGCTGTTCTACAGGATTATTTCCTACATTTGTATCTCTTCAACCTCACAATTCTCACTCCCATCCACACTTTCAACTGATGATTCTGGTTCTGAGTTTCCTAAGAAGTACTTATACAAACTCTACCACCATGTCACTAATATATGCCAGCATCTACTCTGTGTTCCCAGCTGTCACTGTAGATCACTACCAGAGGCAGGGGGCAAGAGCTGCCCACCAGGGAACACATGGCAATGTCTATATACATCTTTGATTGTCACAACAAGGATGGAAGCATTACTAGCATCTAGAGAGCGGAGGCCCTGGGTGCTACTAAACATTTAAGAGTATGCAGGAGAGCCCCTACAACAAGAATTATCAAGTCTACGAGCTGGCATTGTAGCACAGCAGGTTAAGTTGCCACCTGCGGCACCTGCATCCCATATGGGCATATTGAGTCTCGGTTGCTCCACTTCCAATCCAGTTCCCTGTTAATGATCTGGAAAAAGCAGAGGAAGATGGTCCAAGTACTTGGGCCCCTGGACCCATGTGGAGACCCAGAAGAAGTTTTGGCTCCTGGTTTCAGCTTGGCCAAGCTCCAGCCCTTGCAGGCATTCAGGGAGTAAGCTAGCAGATGGAAGACCTTGCTCTCTCTCTAACTCCGTCTTTCAAATAAATGAATATATTTCTTTTAAGATTTATTTATTTTACTTGAAAGTCAGAGTTATACAGAGAGAGGAGAGGCAGAGAGAGAGAGAGAGAGAGAGAGAGGTCTTCCATCCGATGGTTCACTCCCCAATTGGCTGCGACAGCCGGAGCTGCACAAATCCAAAGCCAGGAGCCAGGAGCTTCTTCCGGGTCTCCCACGTGGGTGCAGGGGCCCAAGGACTAGGGCCATTTTCCACCACTTTCCCAGGCCATACCAGAGAGCCAGACAGGAAGTGGAGCAGCCGAGTCTCGAACTGGCGCCCATATGGGATGTCAGCGCTTGAGTCCAGGGCATTAACCCGCTGCGCCACAGCGCCGGCCCCGAAATAGATATTTTAAAAAGGGACCAGCACTGTGGCACAGCAGGTTAAAGCCCTGACCTGCAGCACCAGCAATCCATATGGGTGCCAATTGAATCCCAGCTACTCTACTTCAGATCCAGCTCCCTGCTTATGCACGTGGGAAAGCAGCAAAGGATGGTCCAAGTGCTTGGGCCCCTGTACCCACATGGGAAACCCAGAAGAAGCTCCTGGCTTTGGCCTGGCCCAGCCCTGGCTGTTGCAGCCATGTGGGGAATGAACCTGCAGAAAGAAGACTTTCTCTCTCTCTCTCTCTCTTTACTTCTCTCTGTAACTCTGACTTTAAAATAAAATTTAAAAAACTTATTATCCAGGCTAGAATGCCAAGAGTACTGCGGTCGAGAAACTCTGGCATGGATGAACTTTCTTCACCGCTATCTAAACCCTCTCCCTACTAGATTCCTTCCTTTCTTGTCTACTCCTGCAAGGTCCTTTCTCTAATTCCCCAATATAAAATTTTTGTCTTCCACTGGATCATAAAGAAAATTATCTCAGCCTAACCTCCACTGTCATCTTCTACCCTACCCTGTTTCTTTGCTCATTTTTTTGAAAACTTTTCTCAAAGAGTTGCCCCTACTATCTCAAATTCTTCTCCTCCTACCTCTTAAACCATTCCAACCAGGCTCTGGCCATCCCACTAAAACAGCTCTTGTTAAGTCACCAATCGTGTCCACATTAGTAATGCCAGTAATTAATCCTCACTCTTCACGTGACTTGAGAGGCCAACACCATACAACTGATCACTTGCTGCTTCTTGATACACTATCGTGTGGGGTCTAGGACACTCAACATTCTTCTGGTTTTCTTCTTACCTCAATGGACAATGCTTCATATATGCTACATCCTCCTCCACTTTTCCTTCTTTGGGGGTCTCATCTGGCCAAATGGCTTTATTTCCACTTTATTATCATATGTCCAAAATAGAACACTCAATCTTTCTCTAAAACCTATTCTCACCCAGTAGATGGCAACTCCATCTTTCCAACTGTTCAGGCCAAAAATCAGGACTCATCTTGACTTTGTTGCACATTCCACATCGAAGCCATCAGGTATCCTTACTCTTTTTAAATTTTCATTTATTTATTTTCATTTTATTTGAAAGGCAGGGACAGACAGAGATCTTTCATCCACTGGCACACTTCCCAGATGCTGGTAACAACCAGGAGGGGCCAGGCTGAATCCAAGAGCCCAGAACTCAGTCTGGGTCTATTACTCAGATGGCAGGGACCCAAGTACTCGGGAAGTCACCTGCACGAGAGTACACATTAACAGGATTAGAAATGAAATAGCCAGGAACTTGTAACCAGGCACTCTGAGATGCAATGTAGGCGTCCCAAGCAGCAGCTTAACCAGGTCAAATGCCTGCCCTTCTACTTTAAAAACCATATCCAGGGGGCTGGCGCTGTAGTGCAGCAGGTTAAGCCACTGCCTACAACACCGGCATGGCATCCCATTTGGGTGCTGGTTCCATCCAGGTTGATCCACTTCCAACCCAGCTCCCTGCAAACAGCCTGGGGAAAGCAACAGAAAATGGCCCGACTCCATAGGCTCCTGCCACCCATGTGGGAAACTCGCAAAAAGTTCCTGGCTCCTGGCCTCAGCCTGGCCTAGTCATGGCGTTTGCGCCCATTTGAGAAGAGAACCAGAGGATGAAAGATCTCTCCCTCTCTATCCCTCTCTCTGTAACTCTGCTTTCAAATAAATAAATCTTTTAAAAAATGTCCAGTCAACAACAGGAGTCACTGTGTACTTACTTCTCATGTGGGATCTGTCCTTAGTATGTTGTCCAATGTGAAGTAATGCTATAACTAGTACTGAAACAGTATTTTTACACTTTGTGTTTCTGTGTGGGTGCAAACTGATGAAATCTTTACTTAATATATACTGAATCGATCTTCTGTATATAAAGATAATTGAAAATGAATCTTGATGTGAATGGAATGGGAGAGGGAGCGGGAGATGGGAGGGGCGAGAGTGGGAGGGAAATTATGGGGAGGGTGAGCCAATGTAATCCATAAACTGTACTTTGGAAATTTATATTTACTAAATTAAAAAAAAAAAAGGAAAAAAAAATGTCCAAAACCCAATTTTTCTCAAAACTTCCATCTCCTCTGTGTCAATACATATCCCTAATTCTATCATTGCTTGCCTGTAGTTTCTCAACCCAGTAGTCGGAATGATTCTTTAAAGTAGTGGGTAAAGCCACTGTCTGCAGTACCAGTATCCCATGTGGCCAGTTCAGGTCTTGGCTGCTCCACTTCTCATCCAGCTCCCTGCTAACAGCCTGGGAAAAGCAGCGGAAGACAGCCCAGGGGCCAGCGCTGTGGCTCAGCGGGTTAAAGCACTGGCCTGAAAGCACCGGCATCTCATATGGACGCTGGTTCTAGTCCCGGCTGCTCCTCTTCTGGTCTTCTATGGCCTGGGAAAGCAGTAGAACACGGCCCAAGTCCTTGGGCCCCTGCACCCACGTGGGAGATCCAGAAGAAGCTCTTAGCTCCTGGCTTCGGATTGGCGCAGCCCTGGCCATTGCAGCCATCTGGGGAGTGAACCAGCGGGTGGAAGACCTCTCTCTCTGTTTCTACCTCTCTCTGTAATTCTTTCAAATAAATAAAATAAATCTTTAAAAATAAAAGAAGAAGATGGCAGAAATACTTGGGTCTCTGCACCCACATGGGATACTGGAAGAAGCTCCTGGCTCCTGGCTTCAGATAGGCTCAGCTCCAGCCACTGTGGCCATTTGGGAAGTGAACCAGCAGATGGAAGATCGATCTCTCTCTCTCTAACTCTGCCTTTCAAATAATAAATACATCTTTAAAAAAGATTTATTTTATTTGCAAGTCAGAGTTACAGAGAAAAAGGGAGAGACAGAATCTTCCATCCACTGGCTTACTCCCCTAATGGACACATTAGCTGGAGCTGGGCCAGGCCAAAGCCAGGAGACAGAAGCCTCTTCTGGATTTCCCACGTGGGTACAGAGGCTCAAGCACTTGGACCATCTTCTACTGCTTTCCCAGGCACATTAGCAGAGAGCTGGAATAGAAGTGGAACAGCCAGGACTAGAACCAAACCCAGATGGGATGTGGCACCACAAGCGGTGGCTTAAGCCACTACATCACAGTGCCAGCCCCTTCCTTATTCTTCTTGAAAATACATGTTCCCATCTTAGGGCCTTTGCATTAACCATCTCTCTGAGTAGCCAGTGATGTGCTTCCCTCAAATAGCTCTAATCCACTACCCTCTCTCCTTCAAATCTTTGGGAAAGTGACATCAGGACCACCCTACTACCCAATTTAATGATATATACAATCTGTCCCCTCTTTTCCCCTTACTTTTCTCTGTAAGTAAGCATTTATCTTTTAACATACTACAAAATTTACTTATAACTTGTTTATCTCTTTCCTGTATTAGAATGTAAGAAAAAAATGTAGGTAAATAATTATATATCCTATATGTGTGTATGTATATGTATATATATTCATTCAATATCCACTATTTACTATACTTTTGTCCTGTTTCCAAAGGAATTCCCACCAACACTTGGGCTGCATTTCTCCAATCTTCTTCTTTCTCATATATAGATGCAAGATGCTGCCTTATGGAAGCAACCTGAAATAGAAGGTATACATGTTAAATTACTTCAACCATAACTCATTAGTCAATTAAAATAAATAGATGATAAACTAATCCATTTTGACAATGCTCTTATTCAACATACAGGGTGGCAAATCAAAGTTTATCTAGACCACCCAAATTTTTCTATGAATTTCGCATTCACATAATATCAAAGCAGTGAAATGAAACAATGCATTTCTGCAATGTGAGTTATGGTAATATTTTAGTTTAAATGTTAAAATTTGCTTTTATGTCTCTGCATATAGGATGTTGAAGTTTCCCGTGTGTAGTCTAATAACAATTTTTTATACTGACTTTTTAAAACTGTTTAAAGAGTAATATTTGACTGGTAAGATCAAATTTTAATATATGGGCAAATGTCAGGTGGAATTGCAAACATTCTAATATTTATTAGATTTTACACTGTAAAATGGTGGTAGACAGGACTAGCACTGTTAGCACAGGGAGTTAAGCCACTGCTTGTGATGCCAGCATCCCATATGGGTTCTGGTTCATGTCCCGGTTGCTCTACTTCCAATCCAACTCCCTACTAATGTACTTAGGAAAGCAGTAGAAGATAGCCTAAGTGCTTGGGACTCTGCACCCATGTGAGAGATCCAGATGAAGCTCCTGGCTCCTGGCCTCAGCCAGGCCCAGCCCTGGCCATTGCAGCCATTTGAGGAGTGAACCAGCAGATGGAAGATCTCTCCCTGTCTCTCCCTTTCTCTCTCTGTAACTCTGCCTTTCAAACAAATAAAATAAATCTTTAAAAGCAAAAAACGCTGGTTGAGATTCTATTTCATCAAATATCAAATTGCACAATTATCTCCATTAGGAATTTAATAGCATCAGATTCTCAAAGCAACTGCCGCTATCTCAAATTCAAAAACTGTTGTTCTAGATTCTTACCTGCTCCTCAAATGAAATGACTCTAGGCTGGATCTTTTCCAAGGTAAAGTGATAGATTTCTTTGGCTGTGCTATCAGGCAGGTTAGGCAGATGTGTGCAAAAATCAGTCAGCAACTGTCGTGAGATCACAAGACTGACATTCTCATTTACCACTGTTTAAAAAGAAAGAGATAAGAAAACATGAGTAATTTATAAATTTTCATTAAGCAATCAACCCTTACCTAAAATTAATACTGAAAACATATCTGTATTAGTGTAACCTTCAATGTGTTATTCCAGGAATTCCATACCCTAATCATCTTATACTGTAACATGTCACAAATCAAGTTTCCTTACACTGAATTACTTGATTTTTTTCTGACTATACTGAAACAGTAAAGATATCATAACTTCTCTAAGCAAAAGAAATGTCAGGGAAAAGGTTTTATTTAATAACTGAGACTTTTATACCATTCCTTTCTCTTAATTTTCTATAATATTAAGGCACAGAAACACCTACATCTTTCTTTATATGCTGACCCCCCATCCAGTTCCAAAAAAGAGTAAAAGAAGAAAACAGTGATATAATTTTCATGAAATTTAAATGAAGCAAATGCTGCGAGCACACTTAGTGTCATTTGTATTTTCCTAATAAAAGCAACACATAAGGAGGCACACAGCAGTTAAGTTGCTGCTTGGGAAACCTCCATCCCATATGGATGCTTGGTTTGAATCCCAGCTACTCCCTTACTCCCTCCCTCCCTCCTTTCTTTCTTTCTTTTTTTGACAAGCAGAGTTAGACAGTGAGAGAGAGAGAGAGACAGAGAGAAAGGTCTTCCTTTTCCTGTTGGTTCACCCCCCAAGTGGCCGCTACAGCCGGCACGTTGCAGCCGGTGCACTGTGCCGATCCGAAGCCAGGAGCCAGGTACTTCCTCCTGATCTCCCATGCGGGTGCAGGGCCCAAGGACCTGGGCCATCCTCCACTGCCTTCCCTGGCCACAGCAGAGAGCTAGACTGGAAGAGGAGTGACCGGGACAGAATCCGGCGCCCCAACCGGGACTACAACCTGGGGTGCTGGCACCGCAGGCAGAGGATTAGGTGCAGCGCTGGCCACTACTCCATTTCTGATTCAACTTCCTGCTAATGCACATTCTGGGAGGCAGATCATGGCTCAAGTACTTGTGTCTCTACCACCCACATGGGAAATCTGGATTGAGTTCTAGGCTCCTGGCCTATCTGGTTTAACCCAGGCTGTTATGGGCATCTGGGAAGTCCACCAGCATTGGAAGATCTCTGTCTGTCTGTCTCTGCATTTGAAAAATAAAGAAAAAATATTTAAAAAAATTTTTAAAACAATCAATATCAACTTTAATCAATACTAGATATAGTAACATCATCTATAGATATCTATAAGGTATTGTTCTATGTGACTAACAGTGAAAGCTCTGGTGTCACATAGCCCACTCCCAATCATACAGTTTAAGAAACTTGGGACTGGTATTGTGGTGTAGCAAGTTAAGCTACAACCTGCAATGCCAACCTCCCATATGGGCAGCAGTTTGTGTCCCAGCTGCCCTAATTCCAATCGAACTTCCTGCTAATGTGTCTGTGAAAGCAATGGAAGATGGCCTCAGTGTTTGGGCCCCCGCCACTCGTGGGAAACCCAGATAAAGCTCTTGGTTCCACCTGGTGCAGCACTGCTCTTTGCAGCTAACTGGGGAATGAGCCAGGAGATGAGTTCTCTCTCTGTCTCTCCCTTTCTCTCTGTAACTCTTTCAAAATAAACAAGTAAATCTTTTAAAAAGAAACAGGAGGGGAGCCCCGGCACCATGGTACAGCAGATTAAGTAGACACCTACAGCACCAGCATCCCATATGGGCACTGGTTAGAGTCCCACTACTCTGCTAATGCACCTGGTAAAGCAGCAGAAGATGGCCTAAGTGCTTGGGCACCTGCACCCACGTGGGAGACCTGGAAGAAGCTCCTGGCTCCTGGCTTCAGCCTGGCCCAGCCCTGGTTGTTACAGCCATTTGGAGAATGAAACAGTGGACAGAAGGTTTCTCTTTCTACCTCTGTCTCTGTAACTATACCTTTCAAATAAAATAAATAAATCTTAAAAAAAAAAAAAAAGAAATTTAACTTCACAACTGTAAAATGAGAACAATATCATCAATCTCACAAGATTGTTGTGAACCTTAAATGCAATAATACATATAGAGCACTTTAAACAATTTCTGGTACATAGCAAAAATCATGGAATTTCCATTCTACTTACTTGCTTCCACAAAAGCTTTCAAAGCTTCTAGTTGTTCTGCCCCAGATAACTGAATGGCTTTTTCCAGGATCTGTCGATACCTAAAATAATACCAAATAAAAATAATGTTCAGCGGTGGGCATTTGGAGTACTGATTAAGACTTTGTTTGGGATATCTACATCCCATATTGTATGTGTGTGTGTGTGTGTGTGTGTGTGTTCCCAGTCCATCACAAGAACTACTAAATCTATAATTCTAAGATGCTACTTCTTCTAGATTTCAGTTATACACACCAAATTTCAAATTTTAAGTTGACAATCCCATCATAAGAGTGTGTTGGGGGGCCAGTGCTGTGGCGCAGTGGGTTAAAGCCCTGGCCTGCAGCACCAGTCTCCCATTTGAGTGCTGGTTCAAGTCCCAACTGCTCCACTTCCAATCTAGTTCCCTGCTAATGTGCCTGGGAAAGCAGTGGAGGATGACCCAAGTCCTTGGGCCCCTGAACCCATGTGGGAGATCTGGATTAAGCTCCTGGCTCCTGGCTTCAGATCAGCTCAGCTCAGGCCAATGGGGGTGCCACTTTTCCTTTAAAGTTTCAAAAAATTTTTTTAAAGATTTATTTATTTATTTGAAAGTCAGAATTACAGAGAGAGGAGGAGAGACAGAAAGAGAGAGAGAGAGAGAGAGAGAAAGATCGATTAATCCAATCTTCCATCTGCTGGTTTACTCCCCAAATGGCCGCAACAGCTGGGGCTGGGCCAGGACGAAGCCAGGAGCCAGGAGCTTCTTCCAGGTCTTCCACACAGGTGCAGGGGCCCAAGCACTTGGGCCATCTTCTACCATTTTCTCAGGCACATATGCGAGGATGCTCAATCAGAAGTGGAGCAGCCAGGACTCGAACAGGTGCCCAAACGGGATGCCAACACTGCAGACGGCAGATTAACCTGCTAAGCTGGTCCCCAGTTTTGAATTTAAAGTAAAACTCAATATCCTTTCCATTGTCTTAAAAGGTTTTTTTTTTTTTTTTGACAGGCAGAGTGGACAGTGAGAGAGAGAAAGGTCTTCCTTTGCCGTTGATTCACCCTCCAATGGCCGCCACGGCCGGCGCGCTGTGGCCGGGGCACCACGCTGATCCAATGGCAGGAGCCAGGTACTTATCCTGGTCTCCCATGGGGTGCAGGGCCCAAGTACTTGGGCCATCCTCCACTGCACTCCCTGGCCACAGCAGAGAGCTGGCCTGGAAGAGGGGCAACCGGGACAGAATCCGGTGCCCCAACCGGGACTAGAACCTGGTGTGCCGGCGCCGCAAGGCGGAGGATTAGCCTAGTGAGCCTCGGCGCCAGCCCCACTGTCTTAAAAGTTTTAATCCCTTCAACTGTGATTACATGAACACATAAGACCATTACCTGAGGTGAATCAAAGCCTCTTCCTCTTGTGAACCTAATGAATTTAGGATCACTAACAATAGGACAGTGTTGACTAGGCTATGAAAACAAACACTAGAGGCCGAATAAAAGAAAATATTAGTGATTCAATATGTTCATGTGTGCAAAGTAAATTCCAGCAAGGTACATGAACGGATAGAACATTTCTTATGCTATCAGATAATGCCTATTTATTTTTTATTTACATTCAGCTCTAGTAACCATTAACCTAATGTACATGACCACATAAGATTCAAATCTGCACTCTAAAAAGGATGGGAAGGGGATAAATTTTATTAATTAAGTAATTTTATATTTGTCCTATCCATTTATCATCAACAAATATTTTTTGAGCATCCCATTGAGCACTGGTTTGAGTCCCAGCTGTTTCACTTCAAACCACTCCCTGCTAACCACCAAGAAAGCAGAAGGTGGCCCAATTGATTGGGTTCCTACCACCCACGTGAGAGACCCAGATGGAGTTCCAGGTTCCTGGCTTCAGTCTGGCTAGGCCCCAGCCATTGTGGCCATTTGAGGAGCAAATCAGCAGCTGGAAGATCTCTCTCTCTCTCCTTCTCTCTCTGTAAGTCTGCCTTTCAAATAAATCAATCTTAAAAAAAAAAAAATAGCAAAAAACCCCAACAAGAAAGAGAAAGCAGAGAGGGAATTAAGAGCACAGCAGAGTGAATCACAGTTTCTGCCTGAAGGCATCTGACTAGAAAGACGGGAGAGATAGGGTGGCACTTAGTGAGGAGCAAATCCTTTGGCCCCTGCACCGACATGGGAAACCCAGAAGAAGCTCCTGGCTCCTGGCTTCAGATAGGCGCAGCTCCACCCATTGTGGCCATCAGGGGAGTGAACCAGCAGATAGAAGACCTCTCTCTCTCTCTCTCTGCCTCTCTGTAACTCTACCTTTCAAATAAATAAATCCTTTAAAAAATAAAATAAAATAACTATAAGGCTGAAAACTTCTCAGGACAGATGAAAGAATCCAATCCATTAATTCAAGAAACCAGTGAAGTTCAACCAGGATAATGTGGTGGAGTATTTACAAAAATAACTATAACGTTCTCCCTGTCCATTTTTTTTTTTTTTAAAGATTTTGTTTATTTATTTGAGATGTAGTTACAGACAGTGAGAGGGAGAAACACAGAGAAAGGTCTTCTGTCCGTTGGTTCACTCCCCAATGGCCGCAACGGTTGGAGTTGCACTGATCCGAAGCCAGAAGTCAGGCGCTCCCTCCCAGTAACCCATGTGCGTTCAGGGGCCCAAGGACCTGGGCCATCCTTCACTGTTTTCCCAGGCCACAGCAGAGAGCTAGATTGGAAGAGGAGCTAGCTGGGACTAGAACCCAGCGCCCATGTGGGATGCCGGTGCCGCAGGCGGAGGATTAACCTTACAGTGCCACAGCACCGGCCCCCATCCATGTCCCTTTGTAATATGACTTGGTAGCTCTTTACCTCAAGAGGTAGAGTTTAGGGACCAGCATTGTGGTGCAGTGGCTTAATCTGCTGCACCACAATGCTGAAATTCCATATGAGACTGCCAGTTCAAGTTCTGGCTGCTCCATTTCCAAGCCAGTTTCCTGCTAATGTACCTGAGAGCAGCAAAAAATAGCCCAAGTGCCGTCCCTTGCCACGCATGTTGGAAATTAGGATGAAGTTCCTGGTTCCTGGCTTCCACCTGATCCAAACCTGGCTGTTGTCATTTCAGTAATGAACAGTGGATAGAATATTTCCTTCTATCTCTATGTCTTTCAAATAAATAAATCTTAAAAAAAAAAAAAAAAGAAAAAAAGAAAAAGAAAAGAAAAAAGAAGTAGAGTTTGGGGTGGAAGCTTGGTACAGCAGGTAAGCTGCCACTTGGGACATTCGCATCCCATAGGAGAATTGTCTAGGTTTGAGTCCCAACTCTGCTCTTCAGTGTAATTTCCTGCTGATGTATACCACAGGAGGCATCAGGTGATGGCTCAAGTATTTGGGTCCCTTTCTTCCATGTGGGAGACCGAAACTGAATTCTACTCCTGACTTTGGCCTGGCCATGCCCTGACTGTTGAAGGCATTTGGGAGTGAACGAGTGAACAGATCTCTCTGCCTTTCGAATAAATAAAATTTAAAAATTTAAATTAAAAAATAAAGAAAAGAGGTACAGTTTATTTCCTCACCCTTTGAAACTGGGTTTGTTTGGCCAACAGAATGTGGTAGAACTGAAGTGCCAATTCGGAGCTTATAATCAAGAGGCCTTATGTTGTCTTTGTCTTTGGAACTCTGCTGTTATCATACAAACAAGCCTAGACTAACCTACTGGCCAACTAAGATATGCAGCCCCATGACCTGCTGTGGCATGGTAGGTTAAACTTCTGCTTGGGATGCCCACATCCCATATTGGAGCGCTAGCTGGGGTACCAGTTCCATGCACTTCTTCCTGCCAATGTGCCTAGGAGGCAGCAGATGATGGCTCAAGTGCTTGGTCCCCTGCCACCCACATGGAGATCTAGATGGAGTTCCTTGGTTCCTGGCTTCGGCCTGGCCTAGCCTCAGCTGTTGAGGGCATTTGTGCAATGAACCAGCAGATTCTCTTCTTCTTGTCAATCTGCCTTTCAAATAAAAGAAATAAATCTTTTTTTATAAAGGAAAAAGAAAAGAACCATTCAGTTGAGACCAACTCAGCCAATCTGCAGAATTTCAGTTAAATAAGTGAATGTTGTTTTAAGTCATTAGGTTGTGTTTTTTTGTTTGTTTGTTTGTTTGACAGGCAGAATGGATAGAGAGAGAGAGAGACAGAGAGAAAGGTCTTCCTTTTGCCGTTGGTTCACCCTCCAATGGCCGCCACGGCCGGCACACCGCACTGATCCGAAGGCAGGAGCCAGGTGCTTCTCCTGGTCTCCCATGGGGTGCAGGGCCCAAGCACTTGAGCCATCCTCCACTGCCTTCCCGGGCCACAGCAGAGAGCTGGCCTGGAAGAGGGGCAACTGGGACAGAATTCGGCGCCCCAACCGGGACTAGAACCCGATGTGCCAGCGCTGCTAGGTGGAAGATTAGCCTATTGAGCTGCGGCACCGGCCTAAGTCATTAGGTTTTTAGATGGTTTAATTCCCAGTCAGAGCTGACATAGATATGCAAAAATAACAAAGACACATCATAAAAAAGCTGCAGAAAATTAAAAACAAAGTCTTAACATCAGGTAAGTGCTAACAAAACTTTTAGGGAAGAAAGTAATCTCTCTTTTTTTGGAATAGAAAGATCATTTAATTTTTTCTTTCTTTTAAGTAATATAAAGAGAACAGATTTCATGCATTCCATAGGTACAGTTCCAAGAAGACAACCACACTTCCCTCTCTCCTACTCTCCCCCTCAACTCCCCTCTCTCCCCCCCCTCTAGTCCTTTTATGAGTTTTTGCAAATACATATCTTAATCCACTCTATATTCATTGGCTTAATTCACCACTAACCATAATATTCAACAAGTAAAAAGTAGGAAGACCATAGTCCCACAGGAAAAATAATCTCTTAATGAGATTGCTCTTTACACGTTCTAAACATTTAAATTTAGTGGAGTGGGAAAGAGTGGAGGAAGACAGGCATTCTCAGCAAAAAATCATGATGTGAAATGTTGAGGTTGTTGACAAGGCAGATGTGTTTACAGAGCTAAGGGCTCTGAGATAAGTGGACACAGCTTG